TATCGACTTCAGAGTACTTGTGTAGAATAAGAAAGATTTTTAACAAAGTTATTTTGTGAATGACCGATCACAAGATATGAAAATTTCCGAGTTTCATTTTTATTGAAGAAGCAGTTGTTTATAATATCAAAAACCCTAATTTTTAATTTATTATGAGGAATGGTTGTATAAAGTGTAGAAAAGTCATACGTTTTGGTGTTTCAGATTTTTTTAAAAGCTGGCTTTTTAAAGTTCTTTGGATTTTTTGAGAATCCACATCTGATTTACACCACTTCTCAAATTTGCTGTAGCACAGTGAATCTGCAGTTTCTCCTTTACAACTCGACATTTAGATATATCGACGATGTGTTATCAATCAACAATAGTTACTTTCATTCATATGTCGATTCGATATATCCCAGTGAACTTGAAATGGAAGAGATCACGGAGTCTGCCACATCTGTTTCACATTTGGATGCTTTACTGACTATAGACGATAAGGGCCAACTAACAACTAAATTGTATGACAAATGAGATGACTTCAACTTTTCCATCGTGAATTTCCCTTATTTATGTAGTAATATCCCGCTATCACCTGCATAAAGTGTTTACATCTCCTAACTTATTGGATACTCAAGAGGCATGCTCTGAGTACGATCAATTTTTAAACCAAGGCAGGCTACTGACAGTTAAGTTGGTGTTACAGGGATTTCAACAATCTCATTTACAGTCAGCATTTCGTAAATTTTGTGGTAGTTGTAATGACATTGCTAGCAAATAAAGCCTATCACTGGGTCGCATTTTGGCTGTCTTGTTTCACACCAATTGTTACGCCTTTGTTTTTACTACTGAATTTGACTACGGAATGCTCCGTCTACCTGATTAATACAAAGGGCTCACGACGGGTGTGTCCGGTCGAAATGGGATCCTTACTCCTCTTACGCACCTGATCTCACCTCTTGAATTTCCTCCTCACATTTTATGCCCTCTTCACAGAATTGTATTGTTTATAGATTTTTTGAGATCAATCACTGCTCGTTGTCTTCACCTTTTCATTACAGCAGTTAATTTTTGTGAGGACTAAAGATAGGGGGCTTGGTAAAGCATTTGTTGGACACGGCAATATATCATTGTAAGGATTTTTCTGAAGTAGACAGATACTTGAGTCAGTTTTACAAAAAGAACTTACAACTACGATCAAAATCTTTAGCTGAATGTAAGAACTTGCAAAATTGATTATTTTGTAGAATAAAATTATTTTTCTTTCCAAAAAAAAAAAAGAAAAAAGGATTAATACCATATTAATTTAACATAAAAAGAAAGTTATTCTCAAAATAAAATTTTGGTCTTGTTCTTTTTTTTTAATTGTAAAACGGGACCTGTTCCTTATAGCGAATTCAACATTTTATATTTTTTTTTTTTATAACAGATTATATTCATTACTTTATTATAAAGAATTAAAGAAATGTCATAATGAATTAAATTTGTTTTGGACAATAGGTCGAATTTGGAATTCAGAAATAGTTTTGATAGGTCCTAAATGGGCTCGTAGTTTAACATACCAGTAACTACTTCTGAAATTAATTTTAACAAATTGTCGAAGTCCGAGTTTATTTTTCAAGTGTACATTTTCATGGACAAGCCATCCAGAAATAATGTGCTTGGTATAACATGGTTCCAGCCCAAGCCGAAATTCTGAGAGTAAACCCATATCTGTCAAGCTTTGTCAGATAAGTATTCAAGCGATCATTTGTTGTATGTGATGAATCATATAAAGCAAGTCCAAAAACGATGTTAGGTTTTTTCAAGAAAGGTCTCGCAAAACGCACTTTTTGATCCGATACCATATTCACTTTGGTAGAATATGCAGACTTCACAATTCCACTCTCACCTAAATACATAAAGAATGTACATATATATGTATTACATTTTTTAAAAATATGATTTAATAGTAAAAGTTTAGATGCCATCTATATATAACTTACATTTATTGTTGCTGATTTGATTCTGTAAGGAAGTCTGCATATTTATTATACGAGTAGAAATTTTTGTTATTTTTCCTGCCGTAATTCGGTCTTCTTTCTGCAGTTTTTCCACATCTGTTGTAATTTTTCTCTCCGCTGACGTTTGTTTTATTTGAAGGTTCGAAAATTTTGATTCTATGGTTTTGATTTTATTTGTCAATGCCAGTGTGACATTAGCGCGGGTATCCAAGTCCTTTTTGGATATCTCGGCAATGTCCCGTTTCAAATTTGAATTTGTTTTGTCAAGTTTTCTCACAGAATCGTCTAGTTTCTTCTCAAGTTTTGTGATCTTATCGTTAAGTTTCTGACAACAAGAACTAGTCTCTACCAACATCTCTTCTGATTTAGTTAAATTTATCCGCAGTTCTAAATTGTTCTTTTGAAGCCCAGAAATTTTTTCCTTCATTACGTCTATTTTCTCATTAGATTGATTTTGCAGTTGCATGGATGTAATTAACTCTTTTTCTTTTGTATCTGTCCACAATTTTAAACTGTTTATATTTTTAGTTGTCTCGTCCATTTTGGTAAGCAACAAGAAAAATAATTTGACAGTAGGATTTGCATCGCAGCGCTGTGATATATTTGTTCTCTCTATACCGAAAAATTCATCCCACTTTCCGTGAAGATTCCGAAGCTCGTTAATTTGATGTTGCAGTGATTTGGTTTCTTTCTGCATATCTTCTACAACTTTAGTATGTTTAACCCAGTGAAGAAATAAGTCATAGAAAGGAGAATTCTGTAGTCTGGAATCCCTCTACATATAAACGTAAAATCTATTGATCAAGTGATTTTTATTTCAATAAATTTAGGCCGTATTTTCATTTCTCTGCCATATGTGATGAGATGGTGGGCTTAAAATAGCATCAGACATAGTTAATTTACTCATAAGTCACTCATCATACATTATCCTGCTCAATTATATATAGCTTTTTTAAAGGACACCTTATATTTCCCTTTTACCCCTCTGAATGTCTACATCACAAATAATGATTACATATAGACAAAAATTAAATTCTGTCTTCTTACAGATGGATAAATTCTGTTTGTTTTGAATTTGATTTGAACGATTCCTCACTGCAATCCCAATTCTTCAATTAAAGAAATGCGAATCAAATTCCTAGTATAAGTTTAACTGCAAATGTGACAACAAAAACCGTTTGAAAAACGATCCCATAGGAGAGAGAAATGGCTAAATAATTAAAAGACATTTTTAAAACCTAACGTTTCCGCCAGTAAATCCAAAATCATGTGGTGTTGATGGTTGTTTGACAGGCTAAAACGTTCAATCCCCTGAAGTATATAATTCAGTACTTGCCGTATACCTTATATTTGGTAAGCAGGTTGGAAATTTCGCTGATATCAGCACTGGCCCAAGACGCAATTGATATCAACATGAAAACAGACAACATTTTCAAGCCACGCTAAAATATATACAGCATTATTAGTTATATAGGAACATTTGATACTCTACCTACAAGTGAAATTATTTCATTTTCTTTTCTTTTTTTTGGGGGGGGGGGCTTTTTCTTTTGCTAATTTTATCCTTTTATACATAATTTTTTCTCATTTTATAACTCAAACGTTGAAAAAGATCTTTATTTAAGATTTTAAAAAAAAAGTTACGGGGATGAAATACTTTATTAATATTTTTCAAAAATCGATGTGATTTTATTTTTAAAAAAGGAGAGAAAAAATAAAAAAATGTATATTTATATTAAATGTGCTGTTTGTCCATAAGATATTTCCAAAAACAGAGAATTTACCTTGATTCAGAAGTCCTAAAATACGCAGCTGTTACATGTATTTATAAACCTAAGTAAGTGCGTGTTATAGCAGTTTTAAATAAGTATGTATTCGTGTGATCAAGTTTCCATGTCTCTTGTTACTGCTCTAAACATGCCAATATGGTACTTGTCGTACTTGAAAAACTAAGTGATATCTGCAAACTGCTAGCTCACAGGACATGCACAGAGTCAATCGATTGAAAGTATTAGAAAAAGAATATACATGAAGTCTTTGGTTTAAAAAAATACATGTAAGAATAAGTACATTGTAGTTTTTTTTATGATTTTTTTTTTTTGATTTCATGTATGTTATTGTTTGTTGTATTCATGATTATTCAATTCATTTATTGACAACACCATCATACATTGGCATATAATCAGACAATTAAAGCCTAACTTCGGTACACTTGATGATGAACAAAAATTTATATTGATGTACATGTAATAACTATTCATTATGTTCTGAAGATACAGATGTACATCCATTTTAATTGCAACTGGAAAAAATATATTTTCAACAAAATCTAAAATTAGGCCAAATATATTGTGCTTTAAAATGTTTAATGTTTTTATAAAAAAATATAATATTCAATTCAATTCAGTTAGTTAATTAAATTGATCAATTAAGCCGGGGCCCTCAAGAGGCAAAAAGAGAGTACACTGTAAATACTCATATATAGTCATATACGTGTAATACAATAAACATACACATGTATATATTCATTTACGTAAGTTCTATATATATCCCTAAATTATAATCAACATTCCCTATCTTTATATGTCTGTAACACTCATGCTCAGCTGCCCCTCAGTAGCTGGTTTCAAAAGGGGGACCTCTAAAAATAAATCTGACAAGCCACCCCCCCAAAAAAAACAACTATCCAAACTCTAAAATCCTATTTCATGAATGTGTGTATGTGTGAGAGTGTGTGTGTGTGTGTGGGGGGGGGGGGGATGGACTTTCTTCTTACTTTTTTGTATATTTTTTTTTCCAAATTGTGGAATTTGACATTGCTCGACCTTATACCAACAAAAGGTGGGGGCAGCATCTAAATAAAAATTTACTATAGCAAAATACTGTAATACTGAGAAAAAAGTAGAGGCGACCCCCCCCCCCCCCCCCCCCCCCCCCCCGTTCTACGGGTCTGGTTACTTGCTGAATGATTTTATTTTAGTCGGGATCGGTCTTTCAAATAACGAAATCAGTAATCAGACCGCATTTGCTCAGGTTTTTAAACGGCACCATGAATCCAGTAAATAAACAGTAAGTGATCTTTTTTCACATTCCAATAATCACTGTTTGTATGTGCTGTCTATATATTAACTAATTACTGAACCAATGAAACTGAAAATACCAATACAAAAGCAGACACTGTCTCTGGCGAAAGTAACGGAAACGGATTTGACTCGTACAGGTTAAGGCCTCTCTCTCAAATGGGATGTAAATATACAGTGTAAAAGGGAAAAAAATACATATTAAGCATGAAAAATTAATCAGCATAAACTAAGAAGCAACAACTTTAGGTAAACAAGTTTTTCTCTATCCTCATTTAGGACATTGATTCCAAAGAAAATCGAAAACTTCTTTGGCATCAATCTCACAAACTGTAGCAAAAATTACTTGCCAGACATTTATGCATTCAATGTATTATGCAGAATTGCAATATTTTTAGTTTTTTCAGTTTTGTACTAAATTTATGTCCCATTTGGGATATTATAAATATATTGATGAAGCCCTTTACTTCTTGGCCTAATTGTTACATTTGTACACTATTCCTGTCAAATTAATGCTGTTCATTCCAGACCTACAGGAAAAGTTATATATATCTTTAAAAGAAAAAATGGTAACAATCCTGATAGATAGAAATGTTCTATCATTGATTGTGTCCCATGGACTCGGTTTAATTATAGTGTACTGTAGTGAACACTGCCGAACAGTATTCATAGGGAACTTATACTGCCTTACTAGTGAGCTAGCTTTTCTAGTGATGCGGTAGAGTATCCCTCTAATTCAGGCAAGTTAAGCAACGGTGAGTGCTTCACATTACAATGAAAAGTGTTCCATGTATTGGGGATGTAGCAAAATAAGCAGGAATGATAACTCTTATCAACACATAAACCACGAACAATTCAAAGAGTTCCGAATGTCAAAATAGCATGTAAATTTGAAGTGAGGGAAAAAGAATGTGAAAATGTGTTGAATTCTTCCATTATATGGATTAATTTTTTAGGTGGAAGGTATCCACAGTCTCAAAAAGTTTATGTCAAATTAATTTAGAGGTTATTTTTAATGTTTTCTCCAAAATCAAGTTGCAATTTTCTGCTACATTGCTGAATGAAGGCATTCTAACTATCCCGGCTGAATTATATTATTCTAACTTAGTAAATACAATCATAAATGATTGAATAAGTGTATAAATAAATGAAATTTTATGTGAAAAGTGTTTTCTATCATCATGATTATAAAGATAATAAATACATTATTCTATTCCACACACAGGTATGGACTGTTAATGCCAAAGAAGAAACAGTCAACTTTTAAAGTGTCCAATGTATTTGGAGATGATAGCGATGAGGTATTGTTGTTAAAACTTACAAACAAAAATCTCTCAAGTTTAAAAATGTGTGTTACACTTATCATGCTTATATTGGTATTATTTTTGTCTGTTATATTCATTCAAATCTCTGTGATATTTATTAACTTGGTGTATAGTACAAAACAAAAATTATATTCACTTACAATTAATAAGTCTATAAAACATAACATTGTTTTTCAAAATTAATGACATCCCTTCCCCTTCCCTTTCCCTCTAAAAGTAGAACCTGTATCTTGCTTAGTCTTCTCATACCCTTCTAAACATCACAGCCTGCTGCATGTTAATAATTTCATGAGATTTAACCATTATACAAGTACAAGGGAAATCATTTGTGCATGGACACATGCTGTTTTTGTGGATGGGACTGGGTGATATGAAGACTCAATATACTAACATGATTAGGTTAATTTTGTATTCTTTAGAGGTCCTTTAGAAAAATCAACATCTTTTTGAATGAATTTTTTAAGGTCCCAATAATTTGTTTTTTGTTTGTTTGCTTGTTTAACATCCCTTTGAGAATATTTTCACTCATATCGAGATGCCACCACTTGCCAGTGGAGGGCTGCAAATTTAGACCTGTACTTGGCACTCACAGCCTTTGAGCAGTGAGGGATCTTTTTCATGCTAGCACCTACTGCCAACACAGGACCTCAGTTTATACCCTCTCATGCTAAGGGCTGGACCAATAATTTGAAATATTGAATTGATACTTTCTTAATTTATTCACTAAACATGTATCATGTTTGTATTGTATCAAATTTGACATTCAGTATTCCAGTAATTATACATGTTATCAATTTAGAGTTTGGGAAAGGGACATAGGATTGAGTTAAAGGACAGATTAAATTGTTTTGATACTTGGTATTTCAATGGGCATATACTGTCATCAAAAGTAGGTTTGAATGTATAATATTGTGAATTCCCTATATTATACAGTTGTATATTGTGTCCCTATACATGTATTATAGTTTTATAATCATGAATTACCTATATTATACGGTTGTATATTGTGAATTACCTATATTATATGGTAACATTGTCTATATTATACAGTTATATATTGTGAATTTTCTATATTATACAGTTGTATATTGGAAATTCCCTGTATTATACAGTTGAATATTGTGAATTTCCTACATTATAAAGTTGTTTATTGTGAATTCCCTATATTATGCAGTTGTATATTGTGAATTCTTTGTATTATACAGTTGTATATTGTGAATTTCCTGTGATATACAGTTGTATATTTTGAATTCCAGTTGACTGTTTTCCTTTTTAAGAAATAAATTACAGATCTTATGTGAACTAAATCCCCAGTACTCTCAACCTTTGCTTTAACTGAGTTTTACTTCAGATTTACAAGTACTGTCAATCAGTAAGTCAAAGATATAATAATGTTAATCATCTTTATTTAAAGTACATAAGTATTTACATGTATATATATGAATTTAGTCACAGTGTAATTTGGTTTTTGTATCATTAATTGTCCAACCTTAAGCATTTTTCATAGCTTCATACACCTTGCTCTCAATGTCTTTACAGGAGACACCAAAACAAGAAATCAATTCAAGTCTTCAGAGGTCATCATTGCAGGCCAAAATAAAGAGACAAGTAAGTTATTGAACTAATTTAATGTATATCACTCTAATAACAAGAAGGATTAGATTTCAAAAACATTTGACCCACTTCCCAATAGAAAATTATTTTGTTTGTCAAGACTGTGTATGAAAAACTAAATTCTGTTTACATCCATATACATGATATAGTTTGTATCTGATAGTATATGACTACATGTATGCGGTAGCTACCTAAGCTCTAATTAGGGTCTCATTTCCACAAGTCTGTTTATAGGGTAAGAAAAGATATTTAAAGTCAGGTTTTAACAAGGGTAAAGGTAAACATATGAAATTTTCTGAAAGAGCAATAAAACTTTAAGAGCAGAAGGAAGATTAAAAAGAACTAGCACAAGACCCTGTTTCTTATATTATAGACTCAGCTTGAAATAGACAAGGCTCTGGAGGCAGACCCTACTGTCTATGAATATGACAGTATTTATGATGATCTGCAGGCCACAAAAGAAGAGAAGGACTTAGCTGTCAAACAGAAAAAGGATAGAAAGGTGGAGAATTCTCAGACTTTGTGTACCTCAATTGATAAATATAGATGTAATTTACAATAATTTGCTGATATCAGGTTATTATGTTTTGTTTATTCATATTATGGTGCATATTTGCCAATTTTCAATTTTTTTTGTAAAGCCGAAATATATAGCTGGCTTGCTGAAGGCAGCAGAAACAAGGAAGAGAGAGGATGAGAGACGAGCAGAGAGAAAGGTGCAGAAGGAGAGAGAGAATGAAGGAGGGGAATTTGATGACAAAGAGGTGTTTGTGACCGGAGCTTATCGCAAAAAGATGCAAGAAATGCAGGAGCTAGAGGAGAAAGAAAGGAGAGAAGCAGCCATGGAGGGTATGCATTATTTCATCTTTGTTCATTTTTTTAGCTCTACTGGTCAGAGACCAGAAGAGCTTATGTGATAGTAAGTTGTCCATCGTCCGTCCATCTGTCTGTCTGTCCGTCTGTAAACAATTTCTCAAAATGCTACTCCTCCTACAGTTTTGGTCTGATTTCAGTATAACTTGGCACCCAAGTAGACTACACTACGATACATAATTCTGTATATCAGTTTTTGATTTTGATGAACGGTGTTGCCATGGTTACAAAAAATAGAAATTTCTGTGAAATACATTCAAAATGCTACTCCTCCTACAGTTTTGGTCTGATTTCAATATAACTTGGCACACAAGTAGACTACACTAAGATACATAATTCTGTGTATCATTTTTTTGATTTTGATGAAGTGTTGCCATGGTTACAAAAAAATTGAATTTCTTTGATATACTTTCAAAATATTAATTTGCCTACAGTTTGGTCTGTTTTTAATATAACATGGCATGCAAGTAGACTACACTGAGATACATAATTGTCTTAATTGGTTTTTTTTTTAAATTTTAATGAATAATGTTGCCATGGTACCTAAAATTGAAATTTCTCTAAATTCTTTTAAAAGGCTACTCCTTCTACAGTTTTAGTCTGATTGCAATTCATCTTGCCACAAAAAGCAAGTAAAACAAGGATTACTATTTATTTATTGCTTTTGCAAAGTTTCAAGTCCAAGTGCTACTTTTCTCTTCCTTAATTGTTATAAGTACAAACCAGTAGAGCTACAGTCTTGACAGAGACTTCTGGTTTTTACAAATATGTATATGTACTGAGTTTTCTATTTCATGTGCTGTAGATTCTGTTTACATGCACAGGGGATGTATTTTTCTCTTATGGTTTTCTGTTCAAGCAAGATCTCAAGAGCTATTATTTTCTATCAGATGCAACCAGTTTCATGTATTTTCTTACAAAGTGTTGTTGAATATCCATCAAAGCATTGATTTACTACATTATGTCTTAACTTTATTGCAGAGTTATTAGATGTCAAGAAACAGAAAGACATGAGTGGATTTTATCGTTATATGTTGAATCAACAAAGTGGTGAAGCCACAGCAGAGAAGAAAGAGAAAGAGGATGTCTCAGTGAAGTAGGTATTGGTTAAAACAAAGGAGGTCTCAGTGATGTATTTATTGGTTAAAACAAAGGAGGTCTCAGTGATGTATTTATTGTGAAAACAAAGGAGGTCTCAGTGAAGTATTTATTGGTGAAAACAAAGGAGGTCTCAGTGATGTATTTATTGTGAAAACAAAGGAGGTCTCAGTGAAGTATTTATTGGTGAAAACAAAGGAGGTCTCAGTGATGTATTTATTGTGAAAACAAAGGAGGTCTCAGTGAAGTATTTATTGGTGAAAACAAAGGAGGTCTCAGTGATGTATTTATTGTGAAAACAAAGGAGGTCTCAGTGAAGTATTTATTGGATAAAACAAAGGAGGTCTCAGTGAAGTATTTATTGGATAAAACAAAGGAGGTCTCAGTGAAGTATTTATTGGTTAAAACAAAGGAGGTCTCAGTGAAGTATTTATTGGTTAAAACAAAGGAGGTCTCAGTGAAGTATTTATTGGATAAAACAAAGGAGGTCTCAGTGAAGTATTTATTGGTTAAAACAAAGGAGGTCTCAGTGATGTATTTATTGTGAAAACAAAGGAGGTCTCAGTGAAGTATTTATTGGATAAAACAAAGGAGGTCTCAGTGAAGTATTTATTGGATAAAACAAAGGAGGTCTCAGTGAAGTATTTATTGGATAAAACAAAGGAGGTCTCAGTGATGTATTTATTGTGAAAACAAAGGAGGTCTCAGTGAAGTATTTATTGTGAAAACAAAGGAGGTCTCAGTGAAGTATTTATTGGATAAAACAAAGGAGGTCTCAGTGAAGTATTTATTGGTTAAAACAAAGGAGGTCTCAGTGATGTATTTATTGTGAAAACAAAGGAGGTCTCAGTGAAGTATTTATTGGTTAAAACAAAGGAGGTCTCAGTGAAGTATTTATTGGATAAAACAAAGGAGGTCTCAGTGAAGTATTTATTGGATAAAACAAAGGAGGTCTCAGTGAAGTATTTATTGGTTAAAACAAAGGAGGTCTCAGTGAAGTATTTATTTGAAAAAACAAAGGAGGTCTCAGTGAAGTATTTATTGGATAAAACAAAGGAGGTCTCAGTGAAGTATTTATTGGTTAAAACAAAGGAGGTCTCAGTGAAGTATTTATTGTGAAAACAAAGGAGGTCTCAGTGAAGTATTTATTGGTTAAAACAAAGGAGGTCTCAGTGAAGTATTTATTGGATAAAACAAAGGAGGTCTCAGTGAAGTATTTATTGGATAAAACAAAGGAGGTCTCAGTGAAGTATTTATTGGTGAAACAAAGGAGGTCTCGGTGAAGTATTTATTGGATAAAACAAAGGAGGTCTCAGTGAAGTACGTATTGGTAAAAATAAAGGAGGTCTCAGTGAAGTATTTATTGGATAAAACAAAGGAGGTCTCAGTGAAGTACGTATTGGTAAAAATAAAGGAGGTCTCAGTGAAGTATTTATTGGATAAAACAAAGGAGGTCTCAGTGAAGTATTTATTGGTTAAAACAAAGGAGGTCTCAGTGAAGTATTTATTGGATAAAACAAAGGAGGTCTCAGTGAAGTATTTATTGGTTAAAACAAAGGAGGTCTCGGTGAAGTATTTATTGGTTAAAACAAAGGAGGTCTCAGTGAAGTATTTATTGGATAAAACAAAGGAGGTCTCAGTGAAGTATTTATTGGTTAAAACAAAGGAGGTCTCAGTGAAGTATTTATTGGTTAAAACAAAGGAGGTCTCAGTGAAGTAGGTATTGGTGAAACAAAGGAGGTCTCAGTGATGTATTTATTGTGAAAACAAAGGAGGTCTCAGTGAAGTATTTATTGTGAAAACAAAGGAGGTCTCAGTGAAGTATTTATTGGATAAAACAAAGGAGGTCTCAGTGAAGTATTTATTGGTTAAAACAAAGGAGGTCTCAGTGAAGTATTTATTGGATAAAACAAAGGAGGTCTCAGTGATGTATTTATTGTGAAAACAAAGGAGGTCTCAGTGAAGTATTTATTGGTTAAAACAAAGGAGGTCTCAGTGAAGTATTTATTGGATAAAACAAAGGAGGTCTCAGTGAAGTATTTATTGGTTAAAACAAAGGAGGTCTCAGTGAAGTATTTATTGGTTAAAACAAAGGAGGTCTCAGTGAAGTAGGTATTGGTGAAACAAAGGAGGTCTCAGTGATGTATTTATTGGATAAAACAAAGGAGGTCTCAGTGAAGTATTTATTGGTTAAAACAAAGGAGGTCTCAGTGAAGTATTTATTGGTTAAAACAAAGGAGGTCTCAGTGAAGTAGGTATTGGTGAAACAAAGGAGGTCTCAGTGATGTATTTATTGGATAAAACAAAGGAGGTCTCAGTGAAGTATTTATTGGTTAAAACAAAGGAGGTCTCAGTGAAGTACGTATTGGTAAAAATAAAGGAGGTCTCAGTGATGTATTTATTGGATAAAACAAAGGAGGTCTCAGTGAAGTACGTATTGGTAAAAATAAAGGAGGTCTCAGTGAAGTATTTATTGGATAAAACAAAGGAGGTCTCAGTGAAGCACGTATTGGTAAAAATAAAGGAGGTCTCAGTGAAGTATTTATTGGATAAAACAAAGGAGGTCTCAGTGAAGTATTTATTGGTTAAAACAAAGGAGGTCTCAGTGAAGTATTTATTGGTGAAAACAAAGGAGGTCTCAGTGAAGTATTTATTGGATAAAACAAAGGAGGTCTCAGTGAAGTATTTATTGGTTAAAACAAAGGAGGTCTCAGTGAAGTATTTATTGGATAAAACAAAGGAGGTCTCAGTGAAGTATTTATTGGTTAAAACAAAGGAGGTCTCAGTGAAGTATTTATTGGTTAAAACAAAGGAGGTCTCAGTGAAGTAGGTATTGGTGAAACAAAGGAGGTCTCAGTGATGTATTTATTGTGAAAACAAAGGAGGTCTCAGTGAAGTATTTATTGTGAAAACAAAGGAGGTCTCAGTGAAGTATTTATTGGATAAAACAAAGGAGGTCTCAGTGAAGTATTTATTGGTTAAAACAAAGGAGGTCTCAGTGAAGTAGGTATTGGTGAAACAAAGGAGGTCTCAGTGAAGTATTTATTGGTGAAACAAAGGAGGTCTCAGTGAAGTATTTATTGGATAAAACAAAGGAGGTCTCAGTGAAGTACGTATTGGTAAAAATAAAGGAGGTCTCAGTGAAGTATTTATTGGTTAAAACAAAGGAGGTCTCAGTGAAGTATTTATTGGTTAAAACAAAGGAGGTCTCAGTGAAGTATTTATTGGATAAAACAAAGGAGGTCTCAGTGAAGTAGGTATTGGTAAAAATAAAGGAGGTCTCAGTGAAGTATTTATTGGATAAAACAAAGGAGGTCTCAGTGAAGTACGTATTGGTAAAAATAAAGGAGGTCTCAGTGAAGTATTTATTGGTTAAAACAAAGGAGGTCTCAGTGAAGTATTTATTGGTTAAAACAAAGGAGGTCTCAGTGAAGTATTTATTTGAAAAAACAAAGGAGGTCTCAGTGAAGTATTTATTGGAAAAAACAAAGGAGATCTCAGTGAAGTATTTATTGGTTAAAACAAAGGAGGTCTCAGTGAAGTATTTATTGGTTAAAACAAAGGAGGTCTCAGTGAAGTATTTATTGGTTAAAACAAAGGAGGTCTCAGTGAAGTATTTATTGTGAAAACAAAGGAGGTCTCAGTGAAGTAGGTATTGGTGAAACAAAGGAGGTCTCAGTGAAGTATTTATTGGTGAAGTATTTATTGGTGAAAACAAAGGAGGTCTCAGTGAAGTATTTATTGGTTAAAACAAAGGAGGTCTCAGTGAAGTATTTATTGGTTAAAACAAAGGAGGTCTCAGTGAAGTAGGTATTGGTTAAAACAAGGATCTCTCAGTGAAATCCAACATTTTTTGATGCAAACATGGACTTTATGTTCCTTAAATATTTAGAGATACAAGAAAAACAGAACTAAGATGTTAATTCTTTGTATAGATATTGACAAAATAATTGTTGATTAATTTGAATTTTAAACGATATAATCAAAACAAGAAGTGGGAATTTTCTCTGAAATTGAATTGAATAATGTTATACCAACAAAAATTTGTTGAGAAAGGAAGAAAAAAGTGTATTGTATCATATATATATCTGTTTGAAAATGCAGTACAAGTATATTTGATAAGTGATCTTTTGTAGAGAAGAACCAGACAGTCCCAAACAATCCAGTTCCAGTGGCCCAGAGGAGAAAACTAGATCAGGATCAGACATTTCACAAAGAGCCTATAGAGAAAGAGGATCCTCAAAAGAGAGAAACAGTAGGAGATCTTCATCACGTGACAGAGGAAGGAGATCTTCATCACGTGACAGAGGAAGGAGGAGCAGGGACTCATCTGATGATTCGAGGGAAAGACATGATAGAATGAGAGAGAAATCTGAATCAAAAGATAGGCATAGAAAACGAAAACATTCTCCTGATTCACCTAGACATAGTAGGAAGAATACTTCAGACAGAGACAAAAGGAGAGAAAGTTCTCGTGAAAAAGAACTCAGAAGGGACAAACAGAGACATAGAAGGGGCAGTGATTCAGGAAGCGAGGATCCCGATAGAGACAGTTTGAACAAATATAGACCAAACGAAAAGGAAAGGCTCAATAAAGATAAATACTCAAGAAAGCAGGGTGAATATGTAGAGAGAGAAAAGTCTCCAGAAAGGGAAACAAAAACAGAGAAAAGGTCAGAGAATAAACCAGAAAGCAAAGACATTAAAAAGTCTGGAGTGGTGTCAAAGAAAACTACAGACTCTGCAGCAAGTGAAGCAAGAAAGAGATATTTAGAGAGGAAGTTAGCAAAAGAAAAAGCGAAGCTAAGTCAGCAAGAATGACAAAAACACATGTACAATGTATAAAGTAGGAAAAATTAGCATTGATCTGCTGGTAATCTAGAAAATGAAGTTTACAAATGTAGTTGAACTCTGTTAAAATTTTAGTTCCATCAGATAAATCCGTCATCGTTGACATGCATAGCAGGCTGAAGGTTTTGGAATGTCTAGGTCATACAATCCTAACTTGGAGTAAAAGTTCCATGGATGAAGCAGTTTTGGTTGCATAATGTTACAAAGTACAATGATGAGTTAACAATCCTATTTACTTCATGGCTGACATGTCAAATCAAGGAAAAAAATGATGGAGTCTTCTTGTCAGTATAATTGTGGATATTATTTTACTACTAGTATTTAATCTAGTACTTGCCAGAAAGGTGGTAAGTGACAAGACCCTAGCCTTTGATGATGTGGAGATCATTTTGACTTTTGCAAGAGGTGAAGTTGGCCAGAAGTTGACGGTTTAATGGTTTAAAGGTCAAGGCTTTAATCATTGTGTTTGTAATTGTGTATAGAGTACTGATTTACTTTTCAGTCTCAAACTTGCTACAGACTTTTACAATGTTAATGGAAAAAGGCCTATTTATTTGATGGCCAAAGACTAGAGACTTGATTAGTGTCAATTAAGTTATGGACACAATTTTAAGACTATCACTTGTCCATTCAGTCTCATACTGGCTACAGAAATGCATGGTGCCCAAAGGAAGCATACTAACTCCAGGATTAAAATGTCAAGGTCAAAGGCAGAGAGAGGCTTCAACTAAGTTTTGGGGTATATCCTGACTTTTAAGTCTCATACTTCCATCCAATGTCCATGGTGTCCAAGAGATAGAACCTTCTTCAGATCAAATGACAACGATTAGTCTTCTTTACTTTGTGAGCACCATATTACTTCATTGTGTCAGATACCACGTGGCGCAGTAGTTACACTGTAGAGCGTTTGTACTAGAGTCGCAGCGTAAGGAGTTGATCCTTACGTCGCGGGGTCGAATCCACTGTCCGATGTGGAGACCGTCTTTTGAATGAGACTGTGAAATCTGAGGTCGCATGTCGCAGTAGGTGCCGGCACGAAAAAGTCTCTCTCTGCTCAAGGGCCTTAAGGTATGTCACTCGTCAGCCTTTTAGAAAATTTCAGTCAGAACCTCTTACTTAAAAACTGTTTATTACAATTCAATCTTTATTACATATTTAAATTAAACAATGTAAAATGTTCAACATTCAATTAAAAAACTGCTCAAAAATTCACAAAGAAGCAAGATTTATAAGGGACTATTTCTTGTGGCGGAAGGATATTTAGCAGAAAATTCTGCAAATCTACACATTTATTAAATTTAATATCTTGGAACTTTAGCCTCACATACTTTTATTCAGAGAATATTTTCCGTTATGATATGCCTGGAATATTAAATATAGGTCTCAATTTATATTTTTATAACAAAATTTACACCTTCGCTCAACAAACATTGCCAAGAAATGAAGATATATTAAGGAAGTCGAGATAAAATTTACACAGTTTTTTGCCTGAAAATCGCATATTTTGACCAATATTTCAAAATTTACATCACTGACCCCAACTTTTTCTTTTTTTATTTTAAACTACTCGATACTTTTGACCGATCAGCACTTAAGTCGTAAAAAGTTTGATACAAGAAAATATTCTATTGCCTATTTAGATTTTTAATACCCCAAATATGAGACTTTTTTAGTGCAAAAAGGTCATACAATAATTTACGCGCATTAATTTGCATGATTTGTTCAATAATAAATATTATTCAAACTATTTTACGTAAAATAAGATTATGTTTATTGCCATGGATACATCTTATAAAATATGATAACGGTTAAAGTGATTAACCAAAGAGTTAAAATTTAAGTGCAAAAAGGTCAACTTAATTGTACCGTAGCTCAGTTAGATGCACACTGACTCCCCATTTTCTCTGCGATTTTGAGTCATACTATATGAGTACTTATCCAAAATATACTTCTCAAAAAATCCTTGATATAACAAATTTCACGAGTGACATACCTTAAGTGCCGAATACAGGTCTAATTCTGCAGCCTTCCGCCGGCAAGTGGTGGCCTGTCTCAATATGAGAGTAACGTTACACAAAAAGAATTGAGTAGGTTGAAAAAATTATTTTCACTCTTGGAGCAACTGAACCAAACTTTATTCTATTTAAAATTTTTAATAAATCAGTACACAAAATTAAATAGAAGAATTTATTTGTTTGCACACTCACAAAAAGAAAAAAAAAGAAATTAACGTTACTTGCGAGGTTCGAACCAAAAAGTTCTCGATTCCAGTGCACAGATCTAGAACGTGTAACGCATACCAATGAGTTATTATTGCTACACACACAATATTGATTTTAAAATGACATTGAAGCACCGCATTTACACAACGGATTTTTTTTTTTGGTTGAAAAAGTTCATTTTTGTGGCCTTTGGGTCTTCTCTCCATTTTTACAAATGTTTGCTCGTGATTTGAATTAAAATGCACACAAATAACATTTCAAAAAAACATGGAGAGATGATCCAGAGATAGCAAATGTTTAGAAAAACGTGTTTAAAAATGTAACATTTTGTACCAAATGACTCATCTTGCCAGTTTTTAGGTTATTTTTTTTTTTTTAGCAAATCAAAACACAATATCGGGAAAATATTTCCCTTTCTCATTTCACAGTAACCCGATACATCAAAGGAATGCTAAAATTTCACTTGAGAGATCAATGAAATTTTCAATTTGAAACTCTTCAAGTGCGCCCAGATTTCTGCCGAATGCCAATCTAATGCACCCTCGTTCTTTACTTTGCTAATATATTCAGTTTGTATCTGAATATGATTTTTAATCTCTGGATGGATGATAATAAATTAAAAGTTCAGGAACAGGTTCATTCTTTGGTAGCTCTAACGTATACTTATATATGGAATCAAATGGTATCGAGTTAGGGATTAATACTTTTCTTGGGATTCTGTATATATCCTACCTATACTTTTTGGAAAAAGAGTTTGTAGAGCATGTTATTCCAAATTTAATACACGTTTTAAACTTAAATTGTATGTGTAAAATACTAATGATAAATAGTTAATCTTACTTGATATAAAACTATGCCTTATTGATGATAGTGAGATAAGATATGAAATCTTTCATTACCTAAGATGTTTAACAGAATTTAAAGCAATGGGGTACCGAATAATTTGATACAGATCGAATACTTTTTACCAAATTCAGAGTGGGGAATAGTTTGTTTTTGCGAACATTGTCAGAATTAAAAATAAATATGAATAATAACATGTTTGTAAATACAATATAAAAAATAATAATAAAAGAAAAACATCAAACGCAATAACTTGAAATAAGTTTAATGTTAAAGTTTTCGGTTGACAACACTGGTAACTAAAAGTTTTTCAATAAGATAAACAAGACAAGTTTATCAGTGATGTATTTTCCCTTCCTTGTTTGAAATCAATAAACACGTGCGCTGAATACTTACAAGTACAAACTTTATCCACATTTCAAGATTTAAAATCCCTATTCTGAAGTAAAAAAAATCGATAGATAAACCAGATTTTAAGGAGGACTTGCATAGCTGTCACTCAGATATTCCTCCGCTCACCACTCTAGAAACTATCGGTAATACTGATATAGGGGCATACTTACGGGGGACTTTAGTGAGATGAGAGGCGCGGTACTGGGACTTGCTCTGTTGCCTCTGATACTGGGGCTTCAGAGCCACCATTTTGACCACGATGTTGATGTCAAGCATCCAGAAAGTGGGGAACACGTGAAGCTTAGAAGTAAAGGTCGTCTGAGTGAAACCATCGACTTGGACAGGGTGTCTGGAATCAAGGTAACTTAAAAAATTCACGATGTAAAAAGAGAAATATTTTCCAAATACGCTGAATTTGTCATAATTTGAAATAAAGTAAAATCACTTTGTGTGAGTCATGGATTCTCGATTATCTATATTGATACATGTACCGAGTGAGATTTCTTGGAACTGAAACAGGTGTATTGAGGTTAAAAGGTAAAACCCTCAGATATTTTCACTAACTTTAAAATCTGAAATTTTAATTTTTGAAATAAAAAGAGTGAAAGAATTTTCTTCAAAAGGAATCTTTAAATTAATTGCATTAAGAATAAACCTTGACTTACTTTCGACTTCAGAGAGTGATATGTCAGGATCAAAAGATTTTAATCGCTGTGGAACACAAAGGGATCGGGAGAAACTGGAAGAAAGGTCAAGTGGTGATGGGGAGTCCGAAATGGGACTGCACTCTGAATACGTTACCCGGGAGTCCGTCAAAACAAAGAGGTGTCTACGCCAAAATTAAGGAGATCTTCTTCCCAACAGAGACCGGAGTAGTCCTTCACACTCAATCTGTTAGGTAAGTGATACTTCACCAAGACTATTGTAATACATGTCATTCTGCAGAATAGAAAATAAAAATGGAAATAATTTTTTTCGGGATTTAATTTTTAGACTGAGAAATTGAATTATTCAACATTTTCAGAGCCTTTGATGTAATAGACGAAGCGGACATTAAATTCCGCTATACCCCTGGAAACAGTGCATCTCATCCACCAGAAACACGGAGAAGACATCGCCGGTACATTGCCAATGTTTTGTCCGAACTCCTAGGAAACATCACATGGCAGTACAGTGACACAACCTCTATTCCATGGAATAAAGATGACTCTGGTGAGATTGGATCCTTTGGGTTAGCAATCGGAGAAAACGACACAGACTACCGCTACACTGAGAACGTAACAAACAATGACGTCATGAGTTTCGTCTGTGAGGACTGCAGTGGAACATCCCACATGTCTTATGAATTGTAAGTTGACAAAATGAACGTGTAAAGCGCAAAGGCAATTGTAAATATAAATTTATAACAAATTGTATTATTTTTCAGTGACTTGATCATAAAGAAGAACGCCATGAATGAACCAGAGATCCATCGCTACCTTAACAAAGTTAGTCATGATTTTATCTCGAATTTTCACCAAATATATTTGCACTGAATTGTTAACAGAGTTAATTATAATAGTTTCATAATTGATTTCTAATAGCTGGAATCAAATACTACAATAAATTTGAAATCAAGTTTCCAGACTTCAAAAGACATCAAACTAGAGTTGCACAAAGAGATGGAAGAATTACGTGTTCCTCCGACAATGTTGTTCTCTGTGCCTCTCGCTCATGTGCGAAACCTCCCGCCAGTGATGCTGACAGTAAAATACACGGGATCTACACATGTTGACTTGCACGTTGACACAAGATCAGCCGTTTCTATGGAAACGGATATTGAAGTTGGAGGAAAATACTCTTTTGGCAAGCCCATTATTTCTAGATCTACACACCTTCAATAATTAAAAAGCATCGAAGTGCATAATCTTAGAATATCTAGAACATAGGTATTCTTTGATTAAAGTAAAATGAAATATGTCGTTGTTCTTGTAGTTCATGAATACAGTGGAACTTCGGCGCTAGGGGGAGACGTAGTCCCACATAATTGGACGTCCACTACTCATCGCAATACTGTAAATGGCGACAAAGACATGTCCGTCAACGTATCAGTGTATCAGCAGGTTAACATTTTTCTGTTGATTCAGTAGTTTTTTTCATGGTCAAGCATCTGAGTATTCAGGTTTACAAGAGTTTTTATTTTATTTTAGATACTATTCAACACAACCATTGGGTGGTTTGCACGCGACATGGAAATAGATTTTTCACCGCCAATAAACTATAAGTAAATGCAAATTTACCCTTCATTAATATGCTTTGACACTTACAAAATTATGTTTTTAACTTTTAAAATTTCTTGTCTTTTATCTTTGAACAATAAAAGCATCTTGAATTTGTGTTTTAAAGGTTGAAACCGACTATTCGTGGTAAATCTGCTGTTAACGACGCGCAGCGTTGCACCACAAAATCGGCTGACCTAAGTGGAGAATTCAATGTTACAGAGGCGAGACTCACGGTCGAAGCCTTCGGAGTGTCAATATGGTATGACCTTAAAGAGTAAACACTTATACTTTCATTACCATTAAATTATACTATTGCAAAGGTATGATTTTGAAATATAATGTGTACTATACGAATGAGTTTGATATTATGTTTTACACGAATATAAATATATATTTTTGTACATACCTAGACTTAATATACAGAAGTAAAATACTTTTTGCATATCTTTCAGGAATAGCTTAATTGCAAAGGGCTTCAACAAAAAAGTGAGTTTTGAGAATGACACTTTGTATCAGAAGTGTTCAGCGGATTGTCCAATTTCAACCAAGACATCACTATATGACGGACTCGCGATGTCAGATGTTGTGGGAAATCCAAGAATGTCGATCAGTAGAAAAGATCCCGACTTCAGAATGTAAGCGCATTACCTCCTTAGCTTGTTAAAATACAAAATAATTCCATTTCCTCTATGATTTCATTCCGTTTTCTAGTTTGACTCAGATGTGGGGAGACAATGTCCTGTTTTCGTCAGAGGAGGCGAACGTTTCTTCTTGGTGCGGGGCCCCTGGTCGTCCCTGCGGAAGATGTGTTTATCGTGGAGCCGATGACATTAACCAGGCGTGTGCTGACCGACTGATGGTTCCAAAACTAGCAACAAAAATCAGCCGTCTTGGGAAATATGTTTCTGCTGAATGGCCAGATAGTAAGTTTATTAAAATGCATCTACATGTATTTTTAAATCGACTTTGATACTAAATTAATAATTATGCTAAGTAAATTATTATATATGATTAGTCTATAATTATCTAATCCGTTTTAGTTTACCAAGCCTTTTATCCCTTTACAATTTGCCCTTCAGTTGTTTATATATAGCTTTCTGTTTAATGTGCTTTTTCAAAATGGCGTTCGGTGTTATATTTATTCCTTTTGTAAATTTTCTGGAGTGGAATATTTTAAATTTTACTTTCAGAGTTTATTCTAATTCTTGGGAAAATAGTCTTTATTATTGTTGAAGATTTTCAGAGGTGATTCAACTAAATGACTGGATTGTGCGTTGGTTCAAAATCATATGTGCACCTTTGAAATTCATGACTTGATAAATGCATATCATGCAGCATGATGAAAACGAATCCAGCTCAGGTCATTGCTATAACAATATATAAATATTTACTACCCCTTTTCTATAATCAAACGTTTATTTCAGTTATTTTTTGTTTTGTGTAGAAAAACTGGTAGTTGTTGAAGCATGGGATGAACCAACTTCCTCAAATCCGCACGGAAGACATGGTGATGAGAGCTTATATTATGAAGGAAGAGCAGCCCAGCTGGCTTTAACTTACGCCAGCAACAACTTTTCAGTTTCCCCGCCTGTTATTAAAGATGATAAAGATAACAAGCGCCTTGAACAAATGGCAATTTGCTCAGGTTTCCAGTATGTGTCTAAAGTGAACATAGAAGCAGGCATAGAGGTTGCAGTAGGTGAAAAACAAGCTCCTACAAGTGAAGTTAAAAGGACAAAGAAAGTTTCTCTCACTGGCAAAGATGCAGCGGATAAAGCAGCCATGGTCAACGCAATGAGACGCCTTGGTATGCAATGTATTCTAGATATGATTATTGGTATTAGGCATATAATTATTTTTTTCAGTTTTGCATTACTGATTTTAGGGTCTATATTGCCTGGAAAGAAGTGTCCTGATTTTGGCTTGTTGAAGCTTGAGAGTGGGGCATCTTTTCCTTCTAAGTATCATGGTGAGGTGGAGGCCGCTGTGGGTCCTCCTCTAGGGCAAATTCATCGAGAAAACTCTGAGGAAATGAACAAGTAGGTTCCTAATATATAGACATGTAAAGGGCGACTTAATATCATCAGTACTATATATAACTTTCTGCCTTTGCTTTAGGTTGTATGAGTACCAGTTTGACGATTTCGAGTTTCTTCATGAAAGACGAGAAAATCAAACTGATGAACAATGCGGAACAATGAGAAAATGCCAGGATGGAAGCTTTTCTAATGCAGAGGACCCTTGGAGCTGGAGTGCCAATCGTGTCATGGCCCCTAGACTTGCATTTCGCATGAGAAGATTAGCATTGATTGCAAAAGATGAGTTGCAGGGTGAGCTTATGATTGTGTTTTGACATTTCTTGTAGTGTAATAACAAAAAAATAGTGCAAGCAATTTTATTGCCTTAGTAATGTTTATCTAGGATTGAACATCACCGTGGAGAGGGCTTTTGCTGACAAAGTGGACCGACAGGAGTCCAAACTGTTTCTTGAAGGAAGGCAAGTCATTTGAATTGTTAGCATTCAAGAAAGAGGAGACACATTTTAGCCCAAATTAACTAAAATCATTTACATCTACTTTTCAGGGGAGCACGACTTACAGTGAAAGAGAACCCCAACGTCACTATTCCTATTCTTGGGCATGCTGCAATATGTGCTGGCTTTGATTTTGTTCGCAATGTCGATAATGTTGCAATTGAGGTATTTGTAAAACTGCAGGATGGATTTAGAACCACTCTGATTCCTTATCACAGTGGTGAGGTACTTATTGCTGTCGCCCCTCCTTCATCAGAGGAAGGTGAATATTCCTACAGTGCGGAGTTTGACCACGAGAACAAGAAACCTCTTCTAGTAGATGGAGCAAGGGAAGAAATAAAATTGTCCAAACATTTCAAAATAGGTGACTTCAAATTCGAAGGTCATCGTTTCTTGCGCATTGATCCCTCTCTCGTCGAATGTTTAGAACTAACACAGCAGGACTTCAGAGGTAAAATACAAATACTAACAGGGTACAGACCAAAATCTGCTAACGAACAAGAGGTAGCCTGGAATAGGCGACAACTAGCAAGGTTCCAGATGGGCCAAGCAGCTGAAATAATGCCCAGAAGTGATGATGAAGTACTTAACCTGGCTAAGATGTTGATGGTTACATGTACCCCATTCCTCCGTTTGCAGAGAAGAGGATTAGGTGTCCACGTGAAACAACTTGAAGAAATAGGAAAAAATAGCATCCATGTTGATCTTTATCCTCTCCGTGACGACAACAGAATTATTGATTTGAAGATAAATTCTAAAATTAACAAAGAAACTGAGTGTATGTGGAACGAGCTTAAGTTATACTGGTCAGAAATAACAAAGGGTGGTCCAGGTATCATACCATATGATACCAAAAGTGCATGTAAGAAGCCTGACCTCGAGAAGAAAACTTATCTAAACTTTAACCTGAACAGACCAGGGTAATATTTGTTTAAAATAAAAGTACTACTTAAGTAAATAGCTATTAGTTGAAAATAAATTAACGAATGACTGGTACAAATATATAAGTAAATGGAAATTTTGAGATATTTATAGTGATTGACTGATGTTCTTTATTTCATTTATTGCAGTTTCTGCTTACAATTCCACGATAAGAAATTCTGCCAGAACTCTACCAAAGCCAGGGAAGAACTCGGGGATGAACTTTTGAAACAATTGCAGAGTGTGGCAGGAACTGATCGACTGGACATAACAACAACTCGTGAACAGATTAAACAGTGTATAGTCACTGGCTGTGGGGGATGTTCAGGATCTGGTAAACAAACATTAAACGAGTATCTGTCAGTTATTATTGCTACTCCTGACAAGGAATGAATAATTTCTTAAGGTGTAAATTACTGATATTCAGATAGGAAACTTAAGTAATAAAAATACTGAAGAATGAAAGAAAAACTGCAAGTAATCTGAACAATAATTTCATTGGAAAACAAGAAGCATGTCTCTTCATATCCGTTTGCTTATTTAAAGAAATGGGCTTTTGGAACAATTAAAAATATAAGTTTGAAAAGAAGCAGTTTTGAAAATGAAAACATTGGTTGCCTCATATCGGAATATTTTTAAAATTATATCTTTAAAAATAAATGAATTGCTATGGTTTAAGGGAACTGGTCTGCAACTTAGAGTAACTTAAGTTTTTATCTTCTTAATTTTAGGGAAGAAGTGGGATGGTAAGGTACGGGTGTGTTCAGAACTCGTGGACAACTTTATGGAGCATGCCAGTATACCACTGCTGAAGCCAACAGAGAGCATGTCCTTTTTCAACCCGGATAATGTTGAGTCAGCTTCGCATGCGTATGCCTGTAAGAAAGATGGAACCAAATGTCAAGAAACAGTACAGCTATACTCGATATTCCGTATGTTGGCATTGGAACCATTTCACACTTCTAGCAACTATTTTTACCTGCTGTTGATTTATTTTGTCTAACTCATGTTTACATTTATATTTCTTTTTCATTTAAAAGAAACTTTACTAGCAAAAACGTACAAACCGAATCCCAACACGAGTATCGAGGAAGAAGTATTCGGTGCCACAGACAATCCTAGCCCTCTTCTACAGATTGTGGAGCAGGAGATTGCTATGAATGTCTCGGGAAATGTATCTGTTGTAATAGACCGTTACAAAGATATTTCTGCTCTTCGGAGTGTTCTAAAGGTAACATTCTGGTCATGAGATATCTCTTTAACTGTAATTATGTCTATATATTTACGTAATTAAAGATTTTGGTATAATAGAAAATTAAGAAATGTTTCTTGGGATGCACTTAATCTATGTTTTAATGATAAAGGTTTTGATGATCCACAACCGGAAGGTCAATTTTGTAAACTTTCACGTCATGCACGGTGTGAATCCGGACAAGATAGTTACCACTCTACAACGGAAGCTGGAGACATGGTCCGGTTTGTCCTGTCCAAAGTGGAGCAGATTTGCCGCTTCTCCTTTCACTATTGAGGTGATATCCAAGGAAAGAAAGAAACGAAGCATTGAGGACAGCAGGCAGCGGAACGAGGCTCGAAAACGAAAACGAGACTGGGAACGAGATTGGATATTGCGAACATAGCTCTTTTTCTGGCTCGAACTTTTTTATATTCGTGATTTGTTTAAAAATAAAGTATCAGCATCTGTATCGAGTATTCTTTTTATATTTTAATTTATCAGGTATTAAAACATAAACCCATATTTTTACTGTCATTAATCACATCTGTTTTTGATAGAATGGGTTGATCGAGGAGAATTATTCTGTTCCTTTATATTTTCTGTACCAGATAGAGTTTTAAAATTGATTTTTATTGATTGAGAGCAAAAGGGGATGAAATATATGGAGATAACGAACGTATTCAAGCTCAAAAGTCCATTTAACAATACAAAATAGGAGCAGAGCAAACACGGACCCCCAAATATCAGAGATGGGATCATCTGCCATGGAGAAGTGAGCATCCCCTGCCCACCGGTCACACCCGCCGTGTGCTCCTTGTCATGTTCGGGAAATAACGGAAAAATCCGTCGGCAATTTAGTGTGTAATAATTGCCTAGCAAATAGTATGAAAAACGTCAGTCAGCATTTGACTCAATGATAAACTGTATTTGCTGACAAGGTCATTGTATCGACCATAGAACTTACGAAATGATGACTTTAAACGAGACTGCTGATATTCTTGTTGCATTAACTTGTTTGTCAATAATTTACCTCGTTTTAGAAATTGTACGTACGTAGAGCATGCTCTTGCGTATCGAATCAACTGAGAGATATATACCCCATATGCAGGTGATGAAGGTACTGCATATTTGGGATAAATCTTCAAGGACAGGACAAGGTAATAAATTAGGACACCTTCCGCTCTTAATACCGATACTGAAACATGAAAATTATGTCTAAATATTCTGAGTATTCACCCAATACATATCTGTTATGCATTCACTATAATTGAATTTGATGCTATTATGGGTTCATTACCTTAACGATATTGAAAAAAAAATGACAATAATAAAAAATTCTAATACCACTGAAAAAATGCTTTGCCGTTTTAAGATTTTCCAATTGTTGTTAATGAATATATATTTTTTTATTTACATTTTACGATTTTCCAAAATAAAAAATTCTCTTATTTGAAAAGAGCACAATTTTCTAAATTTATATTAGAAAGTCAGTAAATATCCACTGATTTATTGTGAATAGCAAAGAGGCATAGCGCACTTAGTATGTGACAAAGCCTAGAGTATAGCGCGTTTTCAAATATCCAAAATATTTCAATGTTTTATGATATTTAGTAAATCTTGTAAATCTTCTAAACAAATGCAAATTATACCATGACCTGGCAAAATTTTCATTATCTCAGACAAGATCAATGAAATTTACAGATTCTGCATGGGATATATGGAGAACTATTGAGTGAGCACTGAAAACGTACAGAATTGTGTATTTGAACCACCATAAACCGAGAAATTTGGGTTATGCTCTTTTGATATCATAGTATACTGTTATATCAAAATGCTTTTGGTGTAACTTAGTCTTCTCATAAAAAATGATTATATACTTCAGGTATCCGATTTTCCAAAAGACTAACACGGGGCTAAAACACAAAAGACACATTATTTTTCAATAATGACCGTAGCTTAATGGTGGTCGCTGAACTAGCTATTTTTGTGTTAGGGGTCTTCTGTTCAGGTACCCATTGCAAGTTCCAGACATTTTTTTCATTAATCATAGTTATTTTTTTTTTACTTTAGCTAGTCAACTTTTAATTGTCGTATTTTCCAAATGAGGTACACATCAGAAATAAACATGCATGTTTAGATGAAATGTATGAAGATAACAAACAGTATTCAAGCTCAGAAGTTCATTAAACAATACAAATTTTGGAACAGAGGAAACACGGACCTCTAAAACATCAGAGGTGGGATCAGGTGCCATGGAGGGATGAGTATCCCCTGCGAACCTGTCACACCCGCTGTGTGCCCCTTGTCATGATCGGGTAATAACGGAAAAATCCGTTGACAATTCAGTTTGTAAATAATGGCCTAATAATTAGTATGAAAAACGTCAGTCAGCATTTGACTTAATGATAAATTGTATTTGCTGACAAGGTCATTCTATCGACCATAGAACTTACGAAATGACGACTTTAAACGAGACTGCTGATATTCTTGATTCATCAACTTGTTGATTTGTATTGTTCCAATGGACTTTTGATCTTGATTACTGTTCGTTATCTCCATATTTCATTGTATAGATATATAACGGTGACAGGAAATATATAGAAATTTGAACATCACAGAAGCTTTTATTACAATTTCTTATTATTTTAGAAATTTAATATTTGCATCTTTTACAATCAAAATTTGTCCAAAAATATATATCAATCCAAGCATCCAATTTTTTGTCCTTCTGTCCTTACAATAATATTACGCTTCTCTACCAGGACATTCTTCCCAATACTAAAATACAATAGAGGCACTGCGGCTCTGCTGTGATAAGAGCGAGTAGTTAGGTTCAATACTAGGGTACATTCCAGAGTAATCGATAAGAAGAAGTAACTGTATGAATGCTTAGCATAAGATAAACGCTGAATAGGTACGTGTCATGCAGAAGTTTCGGATTCAGTGAATGTTTTTTGGGTACTTCTGGTAACAGATGTTGCAGAACCCTCTCTCTTCCGACGTCGGAAAATTAATCTTTGATAAAGTTTTAGCGTTCTCCTACTACACATAAATGCAATGAATATAAATACACCTTGTAGACTGTTAATAGCGCTAAACACAAAAGAGACCTCTGTATTTTCTACAAAATCACCCATGATCTGTAATAACCAAGTTGCACCGGTGATTGTAAATAAGCGCGCAAATATGGAGAATTCATTTGTCTTTGCTTTATTCTTGCGGAGTTTGGGAGATCGAATTATTGTTGACAAGGTTTTAATAAAGAAAAATAAGTTTACTGTACACAGGAGGCCAACCGGAATGAGGAAAAATACGATCAGGTGTAGGCTTTCATGTATAAAGCATTTTACTTTCCCATATCCAATATCATGTTTTGTCATAATCATCACTGTTATGTTGGTTGAAACAATCACCAGCGGGATAACAAAGATATAAACAGAATATTTACCCAAGATGCACCATTTGTTATTTTGGTTGTGCAGAGGAAATTTGGAATGGAAAACTCGATACAAATGAAAACTACATATGTTCATAGAAAAGAATGAGGTTAGCCACAGGTAGTGGGTAATTATGCCGAATACTACGCATCTTCTTGTATTGACCTCTCCTCCGCTGCCATTAAGAATGAAAGCAAATGTCGTGAACAAAACAGCAATGAGAATCATTATTGTTCCTCCTGGCAATGTCCGTAGCTCGTGGAATATACAGTACGTGCAAAACGTAATAAAGAGAAAAATACAAGACAAGACCAAGAAGGCAAATACTATGGAACCCTGTTGCCTTTTCTTGAAATAAATTTCGTAAGTCGTTTGTTTCTGATTCTGATGTAAGGCAGAGACACAAACGCGTGCTGTACCGTCAGGCAAAATGTCAAAATCTTCCCAATCTATAGTTATGTTATACATTTTTATTAGCATAACAGTATTTTCCCCCGTTTTATAAATTTCAAATTCTTGTCGACTTAACTCAATTTGTGTGCAAACTAAAAGATTGCTTACTCGAACATCACGATATTTAGTCCAATCATCAGAATTGTCATCATAGATAAAGGAACAAGACCAGTTAGATTCGGCGGGAGGGGCGTTTGAAATCATGGTAATTCCAGGAATACTAAAATTGTACTTGATATTCAAGAGATCTAATTCTCTTTGAAGTCTCGGGACTGGATTTTCAAAAAATAGTATGAAACTCAAATGCAATTGAAAATAATTTTCCAGAAGAGTGTTTCCCTGACAAGGTATATCAATCTCCGTTATCAATTTTCTCAAAGACCTTTGGCCAAACAGAAATCCCAATTTGTAAAATGGAAATCGAAGTACATTATACAGCGTATCCTCAGTAGAAGTGTTAAACTGAGTAGAGCAGTTGAAATAGGCATCCATGTGGTATCGGAGATTTCGTGCTTTTCTAAATAGCGGCAAACAAGATTTACCAAGATTCAAAGCTTTCCCGGGATAACATGTGATGTTTCTGCAGCCTCCCTGAAATAGAAAACGTATTGACTTTACTTAATCATGTGGGAACAAAGTTTTGCAAATTGCATTGTATGAATAAAGCGAAAATTGACTGCTGAGACAAAATACAGAAATACAAATACCATCAATGAGTAAAATTTTTGTGCTTCCATGCATCGAGGTTCACCAATGACTTCAGCGCGAAAATTGTCATTCGGATATTTATATAAATAATTCGAGGATTTCGCAATAGACCTATATGGTGAGAAGTATTGAGAAAGGATGCTGTCTCCCGTCTCCAATGATAGTGGGTATCGGTGGTCAACATTATAACAAACATTGTTAGAGATTGTTTTTGTTCTCAAGAATTCATTTGTACAAAAGTCACAGAAGATATTCTTGTACGGATATAAGAAATAAATTTTGGGGAAAAAGTTACACTTCTGGATGTTGATCGTACTGACTTCAGAGGAACAATTTTCAACAAAAGGATTCGACCATTCCGGGGGATTACATATCGCACAATAAACGTTTTTATATGTTGTCATTTGATCATTGTTATTATCGCGCCACAAAGGTAAAGAACCCGCTGGCATAAATTCACATGCCCTGTGAATATCCGGATCTTTGTACGGCCAATGTCCTGTTTTATTACATTTGTCTATTATGCTGTCAGTCTTTCGGAAACACATTTTACCTTTGCTGTATTGACAAGAAGTCACTGAATTAGGGGGGTGATAATATGTTTCACAGCCTGCAGATCGTAGCGCTTTAAGAAAATTCGAAAAAAGTAAGAAATTTGGATAGTCTATAAAGACGGAACAATTTGCCGTAATATCCCATGGTTTGTGTCTTGCTAGTTTGGTTGATGGAGACTTGCTACATTGTAAACAATACATATTCAGATACGGGATATCAGTTGATAAATCTGTGACTGGATGCAAAGAAAAAACATCTTCAAATTGTTCATGACATCCTCTTTTAATAAATTCTGGAAATTCTTTGGTTCCATAGCATCCACTTGTTACAAGGAGTTCTTCTGCGTTCCTTTGTACCTCTTTCATCGATAATTTCTTTTCACTCAGACAAACGGAAGGATATCTCAGAGGGACGTCAGAACAACACCTCTGAGACCCGTAAAGACCGTCGGTAAAAATGCATTTAGGGTCACATGAACAATTACTTTCGACAGTAGAAAACAGACTTGGAATGCTGTAATTTCCACAGGTGTTCATGTTTCCGTCTAGAGACATTCTTTTGAATAAAAGGTTTGTTATGTTTGGAGACTGGATAATCACATCGTTTGGTCTCTTCTTATAGTCCGATTGCTCACCGTTGATTTTAGTTTCGAAGAAGTCCTCATCAAAGTTTAAAACGCTAATGTCGAAATAAAAAGATTTAGTTTCTCCTGTATTTTGAATATCATTAATTTTTGACTTTATTTCTGCGTTGACATCAAGGAAATTGGAATTGAATCGTGCTGGTTTATTACACGAAAAACAAAATACATTTCTATACGGAAGTGAACCTGGGTTAAAGTCATTATTTAGACATGCTCTCTCGTGTGTTGGATTATATTCATCCCACATACCCGTGACATTACATCGACCAATCACATTCTCAGTATAGACAGGGGGATTGCAGATTTTGCAGAACATGTTTTTAAACATTTTGTCTTTATTGATATACCTGGATTCACAGGCTCGTTGAATATTGTAGTCAAATGTTTTCCAGCTTCCGGTTTTATTACACGAATCAAAGTTCACCCTTACTTGCACATCCTGTCTACACCTGTAGTTGATCTCTTCGTGCGGAGGATATGACAATATATTGCACCGATTCTCTCTTCCCTTTTCAATCAATTCAGCATACGAAGAAATGAAATTAATGTCTAAGAACTTGTCACAGACGATATCTAATGGCCAAGGATCGTAATTGAAATCATCATTGCAGTCAGCACAGTAACGGTTTAGGTACGCCAGGGAGGAGTTTTGACTGGTCACTGGAGGATAGAGAATTTTTTCAGTATAACTTGAATCACCTTCACAGTTCCGTTTTATCTCCTTGTCTGTACTTTTTGGACAGGAATCGATCATAAGAAAGGTTGAACTTTGTTCATAGGTTAATGATTCATTTAAAATGGCAGCAGATGTGCAGGCAGGCTCTGGATGAGAGAAATACAAATCCGGGCAACAGTTACGATCTGCCCAGCATTTCTTTTCACAGGAACATGGCGGACAGTTGTGCTTGATATTATCAGCGTGCGTCGTCCAGACAAAAGCATGCATAAAGCAAAAGTGATTTGGGCCACACAACGTAAAATATTGCTGAAGGAGGTTTCCGATATTCCAATCTGACGAGGCACTCACTTCTTTAATGGTTGAAATTAAAATAATGAACAAAATTGAAATATTGTATTCCATATTTAGTGGCGATTACCATTTAAGATTGTTTACAAAGATGCGTGCATCTCTTAACATATTGTTACTTTTCTCAAATGACTTTACTACTTACAAAATATATCTGGCGAATCTTTTTCAATAGAGTCTTTATCAACCATATATAAAAATAGACAAATCAACAAGAAGAACATTGTAGGTAAATTGCGTATTTCCTGTATCACATGACCATAGAGGGAGTTATGTTTTATTTTATAAATAAATAGATTAATTAAACACGATTTTTTTTAAACATTTAAAACTCTAACAAAAATAACATAGTTAACTATTGTTTACTATAGTTAACTATAATTTACTTTAGTAACAAAGTTTTTACTATAGTAAATCAAAGTTATTAAAAATTCCAAGGAACGTTTGGAAAATTTAAAATCACAAAACATTACCAAAATCAATAACATAAAAATTTACGACTTTTCAACTATGCATACAACCATTCCCCACGATAAATTAAAGTCCAAGCTTTTTTACATTATTGACAGCTGCTTTTTCAATAAAAATGGAACTCGTAAATTAACTTACCTTGTCATTGGTCATTTGCAAAATTATTTTGTTAAAAAAAAATTCTGTTTGTGCACACAAGTACTCTGAGGTTGATATTAAAAAGATGCTTGAGTTTCTGATTGATAATATCTATGTGGTTTTTGGAGACCAGGTCTTCCAACAATCTGTTGGAATTACGATGGGTACCAATTGCGCCCCGTTGTTAGCAGACCCGTTTTTGTATTCATATGAACCAGAATTTATTCAAAATCTCATACTTGAGAAAAAGAAATGTCTTGCTGTGGCCTTCAACTCGACATTTAGATATATCGGCGACGTATTATCAATTAACAATAGTTATTTCCATTCATATGTTGACACGATATATCCAAGTGAGCTTGAAATGAAAGATACCACAGAGTCTGATACATCTTTTTCATATTGGGATATTTTACTAGAAAAAGACATGGTAATCTAACAACAAATCCTTATGATAAACTTGTAATTGATGACTTTAACTTTTCACTTGCGACGTTTCGAAATCATAATCAATGATTTTCTGTTTTAAATATTTTTCAATTTACTTGTATGAAATTCCTCTCTGGTTCTTCATCCACTTTTACGACAAAACATTTTGAGGTTTGATGACGAAATCATTTGGTGAGATTAGAGGGTTTTTTTGGTCTTTGTTTTAAGGTCAGGGTGGGACAACTTATATATTTATTATAATTATTATTTTTCATTATTGAACTGATTTCTGCTTTTTCTCTAGCAGTGGCAAAGTGCTCAGGTGAACGATATGGCTCATGGGCCTCTTGAAAAAAATCCCGAAAGGATTTTTATTAACGATTTCAATTCCTGAAAAAGGTCAATATCGTTAGTTTTTCTGTCATTTAATTTTTAAATTGAAAATAATACTTATATTCTCTCCCTTACATCAGTGACCCATTTTTGATTTTATCACTTAGTTTTTTTTGAAAGTTGAGAAAATAAAGTAGGTGTAAAATAAATCGTTTGAATCATATTCCTTTTACGCGAATAGACGGTGTTGAAAAGTGTTTTCAATCTTTTTACATCTTTATTCATTTCAAAAACAAAGGTGCAGTAGACGATTTTTGTAAAAGATAAGCCAGGTAAAAAAAAAAATAGCTTACTGAATTTTTATTCCTATATCTCAAGTAACTACAAAAATGACGGAAGACCTGTGCGATAGAAGGTGCTTGATAACGATCTTTTGTACAAAGTATTAAAATAATTAAAACTATCAATAAAAATATAATTCAGGGGATTAAGGGGATACATTTTATATTCCAAGCTCAAATACTTTTATCTATTTTCAGTATCTTTCAATGTATTTGATTGATTAAATAAACCCTTAAGTCTAGATTTTTGCACTGTCAAAGATAAAAGAATTTGCTTTTCTTTTTGATTTGCCAATCAGTTTTTGAATCCCTCTGTTTTTAGATTTTGTGTTTATTTGATTTACAGTTTTCTTATAAAGAAACATGTCTGAATTCGTGTTTGCTTTTATCTTATTTCTAAGTGTCTTGGGGGCCCAAATCTTTCAAAATGACACAAAACAGGTACGATAATCGATACCTACAAACAAGGTTATCAAAGATGGTTGACATCTCTTTGGTATTGGGGACGAAACATTGACTCGGACGAAGAACTTCCTCCTTCGCCCAAAAACATAATTCCCTAGCAACCTACGTACATATACCAGATAATGTGAAATCAAGGTAGATATAGTCTGGCCGTCATGGCGGCCGGTTCGCTTTTACTCTGCCTGTTATGGATAGCCTTAAAAGTAACACAGGGCTACTTTTTCGAGCCTGGCTATACACATCACTACACCTACTCCTCCACCACAGACACCCTGGGGATGCATAACATCACCACTGTCATACGGGTAAGCAAATGTTCAAGGCTGACTACATAATTTAAAAAAATAAAATTAATCCAGAGTATTTTAAAATGCGCATTCATATTTAGTTTTTCAATTCTACATCAAAAATGTAAAGTGATGAAGTGATACTAATCTGTACTGATTTATCTCTTCTAAGCTTCATAAGCATTGTACCTTCCTGGTTTTTATTTTAAACATTTCATTACCCCACCAAAGGTAACTATTTGAGGCGGTCCAAAAAATAACAATAAATTAAAAAATAATAGTAATAATTAAAAAAAAAATAAATAAATAAAACCTTTTTATTAATTACACTGTATTTTTGTGGACTTTTTGTATTGAATCCAGGTAAGATGACATTTGGGCGTTGGTAAAACCGAGGTACATTTTTAAAACAAAACATTACTTTCAAACATTAACATTTATGATGTTTTGTTGCATATTAAAAGTTTCAAATTCGAGATGTCAACCATACCGGCAGTCACTCCCTGTACGAGCTGAAAGTGGACTCATTTACCCAACACTCACAAAGAGGCTACTGTAAGAGTCAATTGATTCGTACTGTTGTACGGTTTTAAATCATCGTATCTTATGACTTGCTTGATTTTATTTTTTCCGCTTGATAATATTAATTAAAGGACCTAGCTTTAAAAAAGTCTTCAAATAGATTATACACAAAAAACAAGCACATTGAATTTATTCAATTATGCATATAGAATAAATTTTAAAAATGCCAAAGCCTAATTACCTTAATTATAAGCTGATTTTTTAGACGCTGATAATCCACTGAAGTGAAATCTCAGTATATAATTACCTTACGTATAAGCTGATTTTTTTTAGATGCTGATAATCCCATGAAGTGGAACCTGAGTAGACAGTGAGTACATTTATATTAATGTGAAATATGATACAATGAAAGCAGAAGCTCGCTAGACCGGAGTAGAATATTAGTAAACATTGAATGTTTACCTTCATTTGACAGTGAGTTATTGATCAGATTACCAGTCTAACTTTTAATTTTAGACTTCATATTTAGTCTGATTGTTACTGTTTTCTGTTTGAGTTGGGGGAGAGGGACTGGTTCATATTTAGTCTGATTTTACAGTTTTCTATTTGAGCTGGGGGAGATGGGACTAGTACTGTTTCATATTATGTCTGATTTTACAGTTTTCTGTTTGAGCTGGGGGACAGAAAATGGTTCATATTTAGTCTGATTTTTACAGCTTTCTGTTTGAGCTGGGGGACAGGGGACTAATTCATATTTAGTCTGATTTTACGGTCTGTTTGAGCTGGGGGAAAGGGGACTGCTTCAAATTTAGTCTGTTTTCACAGTTTTCTGTTTGAGATGGGTGAGACGGGACTAGTTCAAATTTAGTCTGATTTTTAAAGTCTGTTTTAGATGGGGAAAATGGACTGGTTCATATTTAGTCTGATTTTACAGTTTTCTGTTTGAACTGGGAGAGACGGGACTGGTTCATTTTGTGCATTACCACCCAGAGGATAAAGAGGAGGTCATCACATTGAAGAAGGCAGTAGTCGGTACTATCTCAGCTCACTTTCAGGTAAATGATTGGTAGGTTGTTTGGTACTTTATCAGCTCACTTCTGGGTAAGTTTTATTGCTTGTTTGTTGTTTAACTTCCCTTTCGAGAAATTTTTACCCATATGGAGACGCCACCATTTGCCGGTGGAGGGCTGCATTTATACCTATACTCGGCACTGAGGGCCATTGAGCAGTGAGGGTTCTTTTTCGTGCCAACACCTACTGCGACTCTGGACCTCGGTTTATACTGTCTCATCTGAAGGACCGGTCTCCGAATCCCGCAGTGGATTCGAACCTGCAACGTAAGAAGCAGCTCCTTACTCTGCGACTCTAGAGCAAACGCTCTATAACCACTGCGACACGCGGGCGACGGGTTAGTTTTATGTACAGTAATAATTTTGTCAGCTCACTTCCACAAAAGTCATTGGTCTACTTTATGAACCCACTTCCAGGTAAGTTTTATGTAAGTACTTTGTCAACCCACTTACATGCAAGTATTGTCAGTATTTTGTCAGGCTACTGACGGGTAAATCATTGATCTGTACTCTGTCGACCCACAATATTCTAATAAGTTGGTCATTATTTTGTCAGCATAATTTCAGGTTATTCGTCTGTATTTTGTCAGGTCAATTCCTAATAAATTAAATTGGAAGATTTTAATTTTTTGACTTCTTTTTACCTATCTAGGTTTCAGGAAAGGATAGATGGACATACACCTCAAACGAATTAGATCACGGAGGTACTTTTCTTATTTATATGTATCTTGTCCTAAACAATAAAAATGTGTTTCAATTCATTTCTTAGATCAAACATGTTCGTAAAAATTTTCAGGACATCTGTTGCATACATATGAAGGCCAGAAAATGTCTGACGGCCACGTGTTAACCAGATACCACTATAGCGATGCCAATGTCATCCGAACACACAGAAAGGTCAGTAAAAAAAAAACCTATAAAGTGCATGGCTTCTCAAGGCTACATTACCCGAAATATTGAAACTTATTTCAGTTATTTAACTCCGAATCTTAACTTCTGCCACAAAACAATACAATTAATTTTACTTTTTGGACTATTTGTGTATCTTTTGTTCCAGGTCCTGCATTACAACACTAACGGTATGATACACAGAATACATCTGGTGGACAACATAACAACATACAACACGAAGGATTCTACAGTCCAGTAAAATCTCTCTCTCTCTCTCTCTCTCCATTTATCTATCTCCCCCCCCTCTCTCTCTCTGTTTCTCTCTTATTTTTTTTTACATTACTTCGTAGATAGACGGTTTGGAGACATACTGTAAGTGTAATTGAAGAATGAACGCTAGTCATTTACAAAATCTTGGGAAGGGTAATATTTATGTGAGTCAGGGATATGGTTGACTCTGTCTCAATAAAAAAATCGAAATAAAGGATTCAGATGTGTCACATTAAAAAATGAAAAATTTTAACAGACAAAACTTTGCATTGAAGGAGCATCATAAGGTCATACTTTACAAAAGGTTTGTGTAACCAAGAGAACTGTTACGATTCTTAACCAGAGTTGTTTGCATATGATCAAGGTATTATTGCTTAAAAAACAAATGTTTATGAGACCATGTTTTTTTTATAAACCACTGGAACTGTACGATTTTAAACTATAATCACAGGATATATTACATTTAGAGAAGATCAAAGTCACATGGTTCAGAAGTGAAGTGTCAAATGGGGGTTTCAGAATTGCGAAATTCTAACAAGGAAAACTTTGTATTGTAGGAGTTTCAGAGGGTCAATCTTGGAACACAATGCTTTGAAAGCAAGATTTATGTAATGATTCATCGCCATAGTTTGTACAAGGTCAAAGTAAAATGGCTCAATAGTGAAAAGTTATTTATAGTTTTAAAAACGTTATTTGACTAATTTACTGTCCAAATCCTGGAATTTGCCAATACTCCACCTTACAGCAACAGAAAATAGGGGGGGGGGGGGCAACCAGCTTCTAAAGGATAATTACTATACTCAGAAAAAGTGGGGGGGCACCCTTCTCCTCCCGCGTTCTACGACATTTTAACGCTTAGCTTTTGGAAGGTCGTACTTTCGTGTCGTACCTTCATTCTCGATTTTATAAGGGGAACCTTAAGCTTTATTCAAAGTATGCTTTATGATGTTCTATTGAGGTATAAGCTTTATTAGTATTATTTGAAAGGATCTAGTCTTTCTATTTCATGTTGATTACTTGTTTTAAGAGTATACCGATACAAGAAGGAAATGTCCATGCAATTGATTTGAGGGTCTTATCTTTTAAACATTGTACTACAATGTATATAGAGAACTCCTTTCTGTTATGCAAAGTTCTAAATATAGAACAGATAAAAGAATTCAAGTGATCCCTTATGAAGTAATTCTGTTACGTCACTGTTATTTAAAATTGATTAAAAGAACACGCAAAGATTCAAACCAAATATTTCTTTAGAAATATTAGGGATTTTTTTTCAAGGAGTTTTTGTATATCTTAAGGAGAAATGAGGAAGATGTTTACAATGCGGCCCATTTGACTGATGTTAAACTTCGAATAAAATGTTTTTGTTTTCTGAGGGTTATTGACTTTGCAACTAAACTTGAAACAATTTTAGTTTCCAATTTATTCAATATAGAAAGATGTACAATCTCGTTTCTTATCATTTTGTTCTTTCACGTGCAATTAAAATGACAGCGGTGTAAATCAACTAGTAAAAGCAAATGGAGCCCCCAGTAGTTTCATAATAAAACAATCATTTGTAGTCGTTTTAATTTTTTTTAGAGGAAATAAAACTTTGAAAGGTTGTGTGATAACAAAATGTCACCGTATTTTGAAAGACTAACTTAGCTGTCTTCATGAATTGTATTTCAGTAATGGACTGCATGACAATGGAGCTATAAAGATATATTCTTCTGGAGGTATGGATAAGAGCACTTCCTCACGTAGTTATCCGTTCATTTTGCAAACTCAAAACAAAGTATTCAGTATTATTGAGTTTATTTACAATAACCAATCTACAATTGTTTTTTCAGAATTTCCAACCATCCAAACAATAGGAGAGACACATGTTACATTTCAGCAGAAAAAGTAAATTGAATACACTAATCTTTACACTTTAAAAGTTATTTAAGAAAAGATAAATATTATAGAAACAAAAAATTCAATTTTATAACTTCCATTTCTTATATTTTTAAGAAAAGATAAATATTATATAAACAAAAATTCAATTTTACAATTTTCATTTCTTATATTAATAAATAAATCTGTAAATAAATAAATAAAATATGTAAACCTCATTTTGCTATGTAGGAAATATAAAGAAGACAGAGTACAAGATGTCATAGCAACATTAGTGAAGGATATCGTAACAGTTATAAAGGTCAGCTGGACTATAGGGTTTATCCACTCAAAATGTGTAGGAATATGAGAGTAAACTTGTAATAATTTCATTTTATTTCTAGAGACCGGAAAAGCCTCTAGAGTTGAAGAAGATAGAAAAGAACATAGATGCTATGATAGAATGCATTCACAGATACGACGACAAAAGTAAGTGAATCTTTAAATCTTCGATGGGGTTCTTTTGCCTTATATCGAAGTGTAAGAAATTGTTTTCGATCTTTTCGTCAACTAATTTCATCTTATTATAAAAAACGAAATGTCATCGCAGAAAACCAGTTTTTGTCAATGGAGATTAAAATTTGAACTTCAGTTAAAGATGATATATGAAGATGATGTGAAGGACAAATTATAATTCATCATATGTTAACATTCTTTACTACATAATGTTTGTTTAAAAATTTGAAAAAAGTGAAATCCCCCTTATTCTATTCTTATAGCGGCCGTAGGGAGAACTGAATGTGTCAAGCTGCTTCAGGAGAATGTAACCCGTCTGATTGGCTCAGATTTGATGGCTTTAGCTGAAAAATTCCTTAATAATGAGTGTGATAAGAATTATACAAGATGCACTGATGAACGCCATCTGATGATAGATGTTATAGCACGTGTCGGAAGTGACGTGGCACAACAGATTATCATAAGACATGTTTTAAATAACAGTGCTGCTAGCGATGAGGAGATTCGTCATGCTCTCATTCATTCCATAGGTTTTCAGAATCCAGTATATGTAGGTTTTCTACAAAAGGCAATCAAATTCAGAAAATAAAGAAATAAATTGCAGAGCTTACAAATCATCAATTTCTAACGTATTCAAAGTGTTCAAAAGATTGATTTTTTATGGTTTTATTAAATAGGACATTTAGATCTTATTGTACCTGCCACTTTTGTTTCATCTAGTTCTATTAAAAATACGAAAAGTGTCCGTGGTATTGAGTTTAGTATCATACTAAATGTCAGTGCTTCGATAATTGTAGATTTTTAAATTCAATATAAAATCCCATACACGTGTACTTGAATATATTTCAGGACCTCATTTCTGCGGTTAATGCATTATGTTTTTCAAAGAACTTAAAACAAGGTAATTTGAAGTCTGACAAATTTTTGTAAATTTAAGGTTATTCATATTTCAATCTCTTGTAAACTCATTGTGCTCTTAAATATTCAGAACCTAGTTTCATCAGTGACACACAGAGACGGGCATGCCTTACTCTTGGTGCCATAGTGAAAACCCTTCGCCAGAATGGAAACGCTTCTTTGGCTTTACAGCTTGTTAGTAAGTTGGAGGAAGCTTTGGGACATCACAATGAAAGTAAGTAAGATGATATAAATTGTTATTTAATTAACATCACAAATCAAGAAAACTTGTCTTCAGTAGCTTATGTAGCAAAACAGAATATTGTTGTGTAGTAGGAATCATTTGCTTTTGAAAATACCTCAGCTGAATTCCAAGACCTATACAAGCCAAGGAACCGACGATCAGCAGAGGAACCACACACGAAAGAAAACAACCACTTAAGGAAGAAGAGAATGTTGGTACATGCTTTAGGTAATGCAGGTCATCCCACTTCTGTCCAACATATCGTGTCTTACATGGAAGCTGATAAAGCCACACCGTCACTGAGGAGAGCTGCCGCTTATGCCCTCAGACATTTTTCTTGCAATAAGGTAAATAATAATCGGACTTTGTAATCTCTTAATAACGTCAATGGTAGATGAAAATAAACATCTTATGTGATATTGTGTTTTTTATGCCCCCGTAATCGAAGATTCGGGGGCATATAGTTTTTGCCCTGTCCGTCCGTCCGTCCGTCTGTCTGTCTGTCTGTCTGTTTGTCCGCAAAAACTTACTTTAACCTTGCCCATAACTTTTGATTGGTTGGAGCTATGTATTTCATATTTCACATGTGTATTTCTTGTGAGAAGACCTTTTTTCGGGTACCATAAAATTTGACCTTTTGACCTTGGATTTTTAACCCACTTTTGCTAATTTTTTTTAGACTTTAACCTTGGCCATTAATTTTGAATAGTTGGTGCTAGAGCTTTCAAACTTCACATGTGTATACCTTGTGACAAGACCTTCCTTTCGGATACCAACAGCTTTGATCCTTTGACCTTGACCTTGGAGTTTGACCTACTTTTGAAAAAAACATTAACCTTGGCCATAACTTATGAATAGTTGGTGTTAGGGCTTTCAAACTTCACATGTGTATACCTTGTGACAAGACCTTCCTTCTGATATCAACAACTTTGACCTTTTGACGTTGACCTTGGAATTTGACCTACTTTTAAAAAACTTTAACCTTGGCCATTATTTTTGAATAATTGGTGCTAGGGCTTTCATACTTCACATATGTATCCTTGTGACAAGACCTTCCTTTGGACACCAACAACTTCGACCCTTTGACATTGGAATTTGACCTACTTTGGAAAGACTTTAACCTTGACCATAACTTTTGAACGGTTGGTATTAGGGCTTTCATATTTCACATGAATATTTCTTGTGAGAAGGCTTTTCCTTGGGCACCATTATTTTTGACCATTTGAACTTGACCTTAGTGTTTGACTTTCTTTTGAAAAACTTTAACCTTTTCCATATCTATTCAATTGTTGCTGCTAGGGTTTTCATATTTCACAGGTGTATTCCGCGAGACAAGACCTTACTTTGGGTACCAACATATTTGATTTGCATTTGAGAAAGTTTAACCTTTGTTATGAGTTGCAATACGGGGGCATCAGTGTTTCACAGACACATCTTGTTTTTTTTTAAGAGCGCCGACGCTTTACTGGAGTCTGCCGTTAACGATCCAGAAAATATAGTGAAACAGGCAGCATATGAAGTTTATTCTTCTCATCCTGCTGGAAAGTCTTTCACATACGAACAAGAAAATATCATTCTAGCGTAAATACCTTTTCTATAATTCGCTTTAAATTGGAAAAAATGAATACTTTACATTCTCTGTATACAATGTAAAAATGCTTCAAATATAATGTAGGGCCCGGTACTCCTATCCTGTTGTTACACGAGTCAGACGAGGGACCTTTGCAGACATCCTGAAAGCTCTGAGCTTTGAACTTGTCCTCCCAAAGGTTGACTGGAGGAAGGTCATCGGAAGTAATAAGATCGGGGCATCGTTTGGAATCATTATGGAGAACTACATCAAACTCAAATTAGGTTTCTGATATGCCGTCGAATGAGCTATATAATGAAATATTTGTGTAATGAATTCAATATTGATATCTTTTTTTTATTTTATTTTAAGCCCCGTTTAGTGGTTTATTCGACTTAAAAGTCCACGACGAAGCTTGGGCCACTGCAAATTTGGGATTAATCAATCAATTTATAGACATCTTCAGAGTTAAAGTCTGCTACCAAATAAACTTTCACTACGACTTAAATATTTTAAAGGTAGAATTTTAGATGTTATTAAATAAACGTTCTAAATTTAAAAATGAAAACGATACATGACAAGAGCTTCATTAAATGCTAAGGAGTTAATCTTTACTTTATCTTAGGATTTTGGCATCGACAGCATTCAGCATTTAGCCTCGGCCTTTGACAGACTGTATCACAAGATTGTGGACCCAATAAAGGAAGCAGTAGATCTGATTAGTGACCTTATTGACATGGGAAGGAATCATATCTTAGAAAAGATGATCACAGACCTTGTACAACTTCTAAAGGATTTACCTTCAGTGATAAAAGAGATGGCGGAAAACATATGGAAATCACTGAAGAAAATAAACAACTTTGATGGTAACCCTCTAGTCGACCGTGTCAAAAAGTTAATCAATCGTATCAAAGTGTTCATCGATGACGTCAAAGGTGACATATTGGGATTTTATCATGTGAGTTTTCATATACTATAACCATTTTGCTTTGATCAGGCAACATGTCAACAAAACTGTTTAATGATAATGAAATAATAAAATTCAATACCTGTTTTAAGCTCTTTAAAGGAATTTAAGAAATTTAGAAGTAGATTTTATTTAGCCACTTGTAAATGAATTTTTTTTGATATTCTGAAATAAATTTATTTGCCATATTACTAATCTTTTAGTAAATATGTACCCTTTTATTTATATATCGTATTTAAGTTTGATTAATTGACCTTTAATAACTTTTCTGACAGAGTGTGGCCGATGCTATCACTGTCTCCTTACCTTTTGTCGGCAAGGAAATAAAGGAGGGGTTTGAGCTTATCGGGGATTCCTGGAAATTCTGGGAAAACCCTATTGCGTCATTTCATGGCATGGAGAACGCACTTCTGAAGTAAGATGAGAGATTTATAAGCCTTTTTTGAGTTTTTAATTACGATGATCATCACTGACGAATGCACATATTATAATTATGGTTCATATAAAGTAATACTGTATTTTGTTTTTTGATATATATGACATTAAATGCACAATCATTGATATATTTAGGTTTAAACTAGCTGTTGTAACTTTCGTAGAAGCAAAAGAGAGAGTAATGGATTCCTTAAACGTTTTTAAAGGTGATTCTGTAATTTGTTTGATAAATTATATCTGATGAATATATCAACGAATAGATATTAAAACCTGATATATACCTGTTCTGTGATTCATACTACAATAAAATGATTTCAGATACACTATAATACAGAACAATAAAATTAAAGAAAGAAAAAGTCCTATAATTTAATCATGCCCATCTTTTACATTAAAGTAAGTTGAATTTTCTATGTTACACATACAAGGGGGGCTTCCATACTGGTTTCATCCCATTGAAGAAGTTAAAGGAATGATGAATGATGTGATGGACATAATGGGTCTAATCAATGACCAGATATTCCACTACAAAACAGATCCAGCTGCAAATTTCTCCGAGGCGGACATTACGGATGGTCTTATGATGTGTGTAAGTACAAACATTAAAAAAAATATTCTAATACAGTATGATTTAGTTAATGAAAATTCCAAAGTAAATTTAAAATTGATGAATTTACTCAGGAAAACAAAAAGAACATCCATGATCTGGTAAAGGATGCTGTTATGCCGGTTGTAAATCAAACACTCGGTAGAGTTAGAGAGATTGCTAAACCTTTCTGGGACAAAGTGACGGAAGTAATTGATCTTTTCAAGAGAATCAAAAGTTCTTATGACTTCGTGAGAGAGGCGTAAGTTGTATATACTTATATATACTTACATGTACTTTTCATGTATATGAATCGAAATTATAATGAAATTCACTGTATGTTCGTTTAAAGTAATTAGGAATATCTGCACTTAAAAAATATAAGTAACATTGTTGAGAAAACAATGATAAAATATGACGTAATTACAGCATTAACAAAGGAAAATTCTTCATTCAAAAAATCTTCGGAGCCAAGTTTCACAGAAAGTTTCCAAAAACTCCAGGCCCTTGTGACCCTTCATGTGCCTGTGGTGAATATAAGAAGAAAAATAATGGAAGAATGGGGTTAGATTTGATGATAGACTCCAAGAGTAAAATGGTAATGTTATAAGTTAAAGTAGGCCCCTTATGTAGATATTTACGAACACATATAGGCATAAGTTCTGTCATGACTTCCCATAAATGGAAATTTATTTTACTTCGTTTTGACCTAATTTTATCTTATTACTCTTCATACGTAGAAAGTTAATGTAATTCCTTATATCTCTCAGGACGTTCACAATCCTATGACTGGTCTGGTGTCTTGGTACGGCGACACCGAGGTTCTCATTAATCCTCACAGAGTAGACGTCAACATGTATGAAATAATTGTGTCAAACCTAGAACAAGTCAGCCTAAAACTTCCTCGCAATAGGAAGAAAAAATTCTTCCTTGGCGGTCATAAAATTGGAAGAGTTGTTGATAATCTTGATAAATGCGAGTTTAACTATATTACTGTATACATGAGAAAGAGGGTGGAGAATTCTACAGGCATGACAGAAGATGATTATGAATACATCGATCCGTCAAAATATATAAAGAAGAAAAAACCCAAATCGTTTTGGAAACCAGTGTGCAAGGAAGCTTTCTATCATTACATTGGACATGTGGCAGACGATCTGGACATGGGAGATGAACCCGAAGAAGACGAAACGGAGACAACAAGAGAGGTCGACAGCAAGAAAATCAAGGGACCAAAATTCTTGCATCGTCATCATGTGGGAAAGCGGTCCTTGGAAATACAGTATACAAGGATACGTAATAAAAGAGCTGTAGAATGTAACGACGAAAACGAAAAATCCTTCAAATGTAAACTTAAAAAGTTCGGTACCAAACTTGGAGAAATGAGGGAATCACTAATAGAGAAGACGTATGTAGATTTTTTAAAAATTGTTTTGGACATTGAAAAGAAAACATATCAAACATAGTAGTTTCAAATTTAAAAATTCTTTCAGGAAAGGAGCCATCATGCCAGGTTTTGACATTTTTGACATTTCAATTTCGGAAATTCAGTCACTTCAAATCAACAGGACTCTAATGATGCAGCTAAACAATAGTATTTTATCACTGAGTAAAGCAATGAAAGAAGCGCCGATTGAATATCCGGACAGTCTACCGATCCACAGAATAAAACACAAACTGCGTGAAGCTGGAGCTGACTATCATGATATAGCCAGTGCAGACAGGTTAACACTTGTAGATAATCTCCTCACAAAGCCTTTAGAAGGTAAGAAATTAATTTTTCTATGAACACCACTTTTCATTTGATAAAATCCCATTGCTGACTTGTATTTAATATTTACTAAGGAAGAAATAAGTCTAAATAGATAATTTCAGACAATGGATTAATTCTTTAAAACGCTGAACAAAACGTGCCTTTATTACGTATTACACACATTTCATAGAAAATGAAGAAAATGTATATTTTAATGAACAGTTTTTATTTAATATGACATCATTATTTTTTTTTGAAATACAATATATGCCTTAGTTTAATAATAAATGAAATGCAAATAATTTGGACAGATGTTAAGAAAGGATACTTACATTGATTAAGTTAATTTTATTTTTTCTCTTTCGCAACACAATAGTTATTCTTGCAATTCTCTTGAATTTAAATTCTTTGTTAGTCATTTACAATGTACGCTTATAAAACTGTTTTAATAAACCGTGAAGAATGCCCATCTTTCCTGGATGCCGTTGCTTTGGAGTATGGGCACATGTGTGATGCCCACAAAGATTGCCTGGGGCTGACTTGTGGAGCGGTGTTTAAAGAGGGATATCAGAGACACCTTATCAAGTTTACTGTTCGCTGGAATCCATGTAGAAAAAAGTTTGAAGTATCATTCGACGGAATGAAGCAACTAACTCGTGTATCAATAAACGGTAAAGAAAAATATAGTTGAGGAACATATTTTCGGCTTCCTGCTTCTTTTCTTTTATGAGTTTTGAAAACTGAAAGAGTTCTACTCTATTTTTATCAATCTTTATTTCAGAAACAAAGGAGCTTTCTCATGGACTAAATGGCGAGACAAGGAAAGACATAGCCTTTCTGATGTCTGCGACTGCTCGGAATCTGAACAATGGGAAGGCTTATTTCTTCAACATGTCAGGATCACTGTGTATCTCTGACTATTTTTCATGCTACGCTGACGTAAACATTTTATCCAATTTACAGGTGCACAAAGTCTCAACTGATCACTGCGAAGGACAAGGTAAAGAACTATCAGATAACATTAAATATTCATATGATATTTAGATACGCTTTTCTGTATTTTCTTTTGATTTTGATTATACAAGCACATTGAACATGTTGAACGCAAAAATAATTCCATCTCTAATTCATTGAAATATTTGGTTTTGACATTTTATTTTCACTACAGGCGACTATGACCCATATATCGCAAGAATCCGTGCTTTAAACCTACAGGATCTTATTGAAGAAACCTCTGAGTTTGGTCTAGATATTCATTCACTATTAATTCTAGTGAATAAGCTGAGAGAGGAAATAATTAAGGAGGTAACGAGTATGACATAAAGACAGAAACGTAAAATTTAATGAATTGTTATAAGAAATATTACATGTTTATCATGAAAAGACAAATTAATTTAATCATGAACTTTAAAGAAACATATAAAATGCACATTGACAGTGAAAAGACGAAAGGTATATGCATATTTTGATGCCATTTGTCAAACTGTTAAAGCAGATATGCATTTATAAAGGTGCTTGTATATTTTCTTCCTGCAGATAATGAGCAGACGTCAGAGCGTCACTGATGCTGTGGAGAACGCTTTTCCAGCCGCGATGGATCTCCGAATGAGCAAGTTTATCCCTCTTGGTCACATAGATATCACAATCTTTGAAATCAACTTTCTGTTTATGGTTGGACCAATTCCACTCCATTTATGTAAGTTTGAAATGAAATTAAATGACATTTGAGTTACTTTTATAGGACATTAAAATGTATCCTAATATTGTGATGCGACTGCTTATAAACATCTGCAATACAATTACAAATTTTAATACAAAATACTTTGAAAAGTGAAATTATTTTAATGAAATCCTTTTCAAGTTGTTTTACTTGCTTCTTTGATTTCAACAGTTTATACTGTCATAGTACGAGTGTAAATGACATATATTTATGAATAAGGCAATAGCGGTGGTGCATAAACAAATAAGAGCAGCATTTCAGCGTAGATAATTAAATGTCCATGTAGTCAAAGTAAGTCAAAAGTAGTAAATATTTTTTAATTCCATTCCAAACTTGCTTTAAGGTTTTGCCAAAGGTCGACATGTCCAAAAATTTGTTTTTACAATAGCTCCAAAACTATGTCGTTTATAAAGTTTAAACTTTTACAGTTTATAAATATATAACTGATTAACAGATAGAAAGTATCACTTGATAACAAATGCTTAAAAAAATATTTATCGAGAAAAATTCTTTTAAAAAAAATGCATATATTTTTAAAAACTACACCTAATTAATTCCGTACTTTTAGTCAAAGCCATCTTTGCAGAAACAATATATGTTTATCAATGAAGGGTAAGTTGGACTTCGATAGCCTCTGGAAAGTTGTTTTCTCTGTTTATTTTGTCCAAATGTCAAGATTTGAAACCGAAAGTAAATTGCAAATGGCGGATTTTATAGGGGTCTTGTCTTTATACATGTCATGCTTTCAATAACAGCCTTTCAGAGACCATTCACGTCCAACTTGCCCTTCATTGATAAACATATATTATTTCTGCAATGATGGTTTTCACTAAAAGTACAGAATTAAGCAGGAGCATTTTTTTAAATTATGCAAATTTTTTGAATTTCTTTTTCTCAAAATTTTTTTTAAAAATATTTGTTTTCAAGTGATACTTTCTATCTGTTAATCAATGATATATATAAAAACTGTAAAGATTTTAACTTTATACCTCACATAGTATTGGAGCTATCGTAAAAATAATGTTTTGGACATTTTGACCTTTGGCAAAACCTTAAATGAAGGAAAGGGTGTGAAAAAGGATCGATATTTGTTTAAGGGTCCTCCACACACCCCAGCTTATGTTCTCTTATTATTTGTCTTTTCTTTTAACAAGCATATCAACCTCTCAAACTGGCCAAGAATTGAAGCATAATTTTTACTAATTTAAAAAAAAAATAATTTCATAAGTTTTAAAACTTTTTATTCCTGGCATATATTTTTAAACTCACAAAACAACCACAAAAACTTAATTTTATCAGCCAACATAGTTTTTATAAGAAATTTATAAAAATTATGAAAATAAATATAACTTCATTTTCTCTAAAATACATGCAGAAAAAAATTAGGGAAGACTCCCAGTACTATAAAAGAAACGTTAATGAATTAAATTACAACAAAAATTGAATTAAAATCAAATTTATTGATGTAGAAAAATTATTTTCAAAACCTTTGGTATCGAAGTTTCTTTTAGAATTATCTTTCCTGTTACCTAGAACTCAAAAACTTTGGTAAGTCCCCGCATTCGTCATCATACTGAAGTTACTTATTTCTGGCAACTGAACTGGACAGATAATAAAAAGCAAAACTAGAAATGTACACAATTATGAATATTTATAAACAAATAATGAGATAGGTATTATTGAAACGTACAAAAACAGTGTGCTCTTACTTGATACAGAGATTGCTTTTGATCCGAAGGTGTATCTTGACCTTGACTCAAGGTCATTCAGGCAAGTTCAAGGTCACTGGCAGAAAAGGAATAAAATTCTTTTCTGGGATATAACTTTTGTCTTTTTAGAATGAATGGAAGCTCTTACTTGATACAGAAATTGCTTATTTCATGAGGGTGTTTCCTGACCTTTAACCAAGGTCATTCCACCAAGGTCACTGGTATAAAATGTGTAAAATTCATAACAGGTCTATAATTTTCTAATGAAGAAACATTATACGTCCATATTTCAACGAAAGATTACTAATGACCAGAGAATGTGTCATTTCTTTTTAAACCCAAGGTCTTATTTACATAGTTTAAATGGGCACTTTAAAAAAATGGCGGCGGGGTGTTATTTTGTGAGCTCGCTCACAGTACCTCTAGTTTCAAACAGGTCAAAGATTAAATCAATTGTGTTCTTTAAAGATAATAGTGATGTTTAAAACATATATATCCCATAAATTTTAGGGTATTTTGGATATTTTTTGGTCAGTGTTCCTTTAATTCTTTTCTTTTAAGCCTTTGGAGCTGGAGCAAATATTGGAGCGGATTTAGAAATTTCATTGGCTTTAATGAGTCTGCAAGCCAACGTATGTATAATTATCTGTTGATTCGATTCATATATTCAAAAGAGTGTATATCTTACGTGAAAATATAAATTATTTCAGCACCTCATTTTTTGCCATTTTTACACCAGTAATGAGATGTGTCATATAAATGTTTATGGTAGATACCCGCAACATTCAAAACAAGGGAATAAATTAAGAATTAAGAATATATATATATATATATATATATATATATATATATATATATATATATATATATATATATATATATATATATAAAATTTATTTTGAAGGGTACTGTTATTCCTCGCATCGGGGCAATCGTTTGGGGTGAACTTAACGTGGATATAGGTATTGCTTATGGAGGAATTCGGCTAGAGGGACACTTGGTCCAAACATCTTTTCCAATTTCTATTTCACTGACATTTTCCAAGTTCCCTATCGCTACAGCGTAAGTTTTAACCACACAGAATCTTTAATTCTTAAAGAAAAATCTATACATTTCTACTTAAGGGATGCTTATTTAAGTAATAATTATCGGATATATTACAGATTCAAGCTTGATTTGGTACTTGTACCTCTTGAATTGAGACTTAAAGCACACGCAAAACTTAGACTTCTCTTTGTGTCTGTAACTGTGTTTGATGCATGCATATGGCGATACAAAATGGACACAATAAGGAAGAACTTAATAACGACAGAGCACAAGAAAAAGGATGATTCTCCACCAAATATATCACATGTTTCTCAAAATACGAGACGCAAGCGCAGTGGTGAAGGTGGATGTGACATTACTCAGTTTAAAAACAGAGACCCTACCGATCCTGCTTTTCTTCTGGAAGTTAGTGCTGATGACGAGGTTAGTGATGTCACTCTCACTTATGCAATCGGAACACACAGAGGTGGGTCAAATGTTGTTAATTGGACAGGAATGAAAGGTTCCTCTTTGACAGCACCTGTTACTTTACCCAATGGTATTCCTCTGTATTGGACAGTAAAAGCTATAAACAGCAATGGAGGCACTGCAGTTGTTGAGTGCTCTTTAGATACCTATGATAACACCATACCTGATGGACGAATCGAAGCGTCATACCCATTTACCAGTCATCCAAGCAAACTCTCAGGAACAGTAATTGTCTTTGATGATTCCCAACTTATTGAAACACATTCCCATAGTGTTGGATTTTCTCAAGGGGAGTTTGGAAATGAAGTTGTAAACTGGGATCTTCTTCTCCTTCACTCCACTCATAAAAGGGAAGGATCAACGGACAAACATCTTCAATATTTCACAGTGCCAAGGGAAGGAAAATTAACTTCAATGTTTATGAGAAGAATAAAAGTTAGTTCTGCTGATGAATGCGCCGAAAATTGTATCAACTATGGGGAAAAATGCATTTCGTTTGACTTTGAATTTCATACAGAAACATGTGACCTCCAGTCTGTCATTGAGGGACCAAATGCTGAACTGAGAATAAGTGGAACGTACAAGAACTACGAAAGATTAGGGCTTGGATATGATGCATTTGTGTCGTACAACATATCTCTTCAACATGGAATGAAATACTTCATAAATGCGGAAGTGACAAATGATTTGGGATATAAGGCATTCATTACATCCAAAGGGACTATGGTCGACTACACACCACCTGAACCTGTAAATGTTGGAAATACCACAAAAGACTACATGACAGTCGATGCTTGCAATGCTGCAATAACACAAAGATGTGTTGATGTTACCCCCAGGCCTAACAACAGGTAATCTATCTAACAATTGGAGAAGCTATAGACAGACGGTGTTCATAGTTTTAAAGTCTGTATGATGTTGACTTTTGTACTTTGTTACAGACGTATCATAGACGGTTTAAACGCAAGTACAGTATTTAATGGACACGAGTCTTTGAAAGAGACATTATACACTCTCACCAATCATTTTGTATCAGGTAATTATACAGGCATTTTTCGCATATCCATATACAGTAGTGAACTAAATATATGATATTTTAATAATATTAAGTCATATTTACGGGTTTTTTTTCAGCCAATTTTGACAGTTTTCTGGATAAAGAGAGTGGGATTTTCGGTTACACATGGGCAGTTGGAAGACATATTTGTGGAACGGATATTTCACCTTTTGCTGACCCCCATGCTCACTTATCCAGTCCGAAGTTTTGGACTAATACCGGGTATGCTAGAGACGTACATCTGTCTGATGGTCAGTATTATGTCACTGTTCAGGCATTGAACAATGTTGTACATGGTGGATCACTTGTTACAACGGTTTGTCATTCCGTTCCACTAACCGTGGATACATCACCTCCAGAATTTAAAGGCTTGACAGACATCATATTTGATGAAGATTTTAACTTAATGGCGATCTATTTTGGTGCGGAAGATAAATTATCGAAGATTGCAAGAGTAGACTTTGGACTGGGAAAAACAAAGCATGACGTGGAAGTAAGAGGATATTCGAAATTTGACTACAAACAGACAGAAAACCCATATATTGTCATTAAAGATTTGAATTTAACGGATGGAGAACCTGCTTGGATTCGCTTACGTGCTGTAAACAACGGTATGCGAAATTTTATCTCATGGTTTTCTTTTTCGCCTTTCTCTTTTTTAAAAGCATGTTTAGCACCCTCATTTTTAGTAAATATGCATTTTCAATACACTTTATTAAAAGTTTTTGACAAAATGGATGAATTAGTCAGTTTAAGAGTATTGAGTTTTTTTATTCAGACGACTGACTTTTCTCTTTTCAGTGGAACTTTTTACTGCTGGTCACAGCGACGATCCAATCTTAATTGATAGAACAAAGCCAAACCCAGGTAAAGTTTTGGATGGATCAACCCTTGATGAGGATGAAGCATACCAGTCAAAGACTGATGAGATATGTGCAAGCTGGAAAGGATTTTATGATCCCGAATCAGGAATCAGCCAGTGAGTATGGAGTATCTAGTAGTTATTTTGTTTTGTACCTTTTTCCCATTTCAATAGCAAAAATTATGATTTTAAAATAAAAATTCTGACAGATACACTTGGGGAGTTGGAACTGAAGCCGGAAAAGATGATATCGTTAGTTTTATTGTTCTGTCTCGTGATGTCAAAGAAAAATGTTCTAAAGCAAATTTGACCCATAACACGGAATACTTTAGCACAGTTGTGGCCAAAAATAGTGCGCTAAATCCAAAGACTACAAAATCCTCATCTGATGGAGGTATGCTATGAATGTTTGACTTGCTAAGCACATTTATGTTCGAAAACAGTTTACTTCAATGAAAAAGTCCTCAATGCTTTTTGTATGTTATTAGTAAATTAAATTTAACTTTATTTATTCCCTTCCTTTCAGTGAAAATAGATACAACATTACCCGTTACTGGATACGTAAATGATGGAGATAACCCGGCAGTAGATATCGAGTTTTCTTCAGAAACTGCAGAGTTTGCTGTTAACTGGGGTGGATTCAAAGATCCAGAGAGTGAAATTGCTGCGTATGTTATTCATGTGTTTGTCAACGGAGAGAAAAGACGATCGTTTGTAGCAGGACTTTCAACAACATTTAAAGACTTTTCAATGTCCTTTCTACAAGGAGATCATGTTAAAAGTCAAGTAACTGCCAGAAACAGGGCTGGATTGGAATCATCGATTACATCATCTGGATTCATAGTAGACCTTTCTCCGCCTGTCATTCAGTTCATTTATTCTGCTAAAGATGGGAGAAAGTACCAAACTGATAATTCAAGCTTATCACTTTCTTGGTTGTTTATTGATCCTGAATCTGGTATAAAAATGTATAGGTATACCATATATGATTTCTATCAAGGAACGAAAACACGTAAGACAGAAGAAGTTGCAACAAATATGACATCTGTACATTTGGCTCTACAGATGTTAAAAGGTCATAGATATTCTGTCAAGGTTATTGCAGTAAATAATGCAGATATGCCGATCTCCCAAGAATCTGAGGGCGTCATGATAGACACATCACCTCCAAATATACGCGAGGTAATCTTGTAAAATTTGTTATTTGAAAATATCCTTATCTTGAAATCAAAACTGTAAAAAAAAAAGAAAAACATCTATTTACCAGGTTCACATTGGTTTGATAAATGTGCCAGAGGATACTCTTGACAATGGCACGGTGATGCATGCTGACGAAAAGCGGGTGACTATCAGTTTTCGAGCATTGGACACTGAAAGTGGCATCTCCAAAATTTTTGTTGCACTTGTGGATGACGGAAAAAGAGCAAACCTCAGTGATTATCAATCATTTGTTTTTTCCTCAACAATAGATATTGAAAAGTAAGTTATTTGTATCTTGAGGTTCACATCATTTTATGTCTCATAATAAAAATATCAGAAAGGTAAGCACATAATTGGGAATTTCACATGATATTTATTGTTAGTTTCATAATCAATATTAAACTGCCCTAGAAAATTTATAGAACACAACTTGTTCTTTAAAATGAGAGCTCAACTAGTTGAATTTTATATTAAGGTAGTCTTTGCTTCTGGTTCTTTAAAAAATCTGCAATAAAGTTATTGAAAATGCTATCAAAAGAGTCAATGAATTCAGAAAGTAATGTGTATTTACCCATGTTATTTCATCGAACTTCAACATTATAAATAATCATATTATAATGGGAAAATAATTAACTCTGGAATATGTTTTATGAAACATGAATAAAAGCACTAATCATTCAATTTCAGATTGAAATTTAATTAAAAGGTATATTTTAGGAGAAGAAAAAGAACTATTGGTATCCAGCCATCTGGAAAAATACATGTTTTTAAAAAACTTATTTTTGTTCTTTTATTAACTTCGATTGTTATAAAAACCCATGATGTAAAAATCACGTGGTAAGATATCACAAATCATTTTCATATCATGCTTATAAGCATTGGTATCTAAAGCAAGTTTAAATGAAATTCGATTTCTTTTACAAAATAAAAATGTTGGAACTTTTATGGGTGGTGCAAAAGTTTACTTTTAAAATCCGTTTCGAAGGCTGCAAAAACATTAGATCATATTTAAATTCATAAAATGAAAATTGTTGCTTGAAAACTTTCAATGTCAAGCTACTTTTTGAGACTTACTCAATTAAATAATAAGTTTAAGAGTTATTGCTCTGGACTTCCTTGAATATGTAAAAGGTGAAGATAACAAGCAGTGATCAATCTCACGAATTCATTAAATAAAACGAATCGTGAACAAGGCAAAAACAAAGATCCCGGGAAAACCAGAGGTGCGATCATGTGCCTAGGAAGAGTAAGGTTACTCTGTCGACCAGTCACACCCACCTGTTAGCCCTATGTGATGATCAGGTAGACGGTGTACTCCTTAGTCAAGTTTAGTATAAAGGCAACTACCTTACAACTTGTAAGATACATGTCGGACAAGATTATGTAAATGAAAACTTTATTTTTATTTTTTTTTAGTCTGAATTTAAAACCCTCGAATGTGTATCGACTTTTTGTCATTGTTGAGAATGGTGCCGGCATAAATTCGACCTTGAATAACGAGAAAACAATCTATATCATGAAGAAAAATGTTCCAGGAGTAGTGTTTGACGGTCGACAACTACTGATTGATGAGGATTTCACCAAAGACAGGACATCTTTAGCAATGTCTTTCGTGGGATTTGAAAGCGAAAGTTGTAACATTGTACAATACGAATGGGCCATAGGTTATCAACCATTTGTGTATGATGTTCTCCCTTTCACTGATTATGGTATTGTCATGCATAATGAAAGTTTTGGTCAAGGTCAAATGCATCTTCGTTTATACGAAGACTCTACATATTACATTACCGTTCGGGCAAGAACAGGTTATAATTGTAAGGTTGGACAATATATTGTTTCAACCTCTGACGGAATAAAATTGGACACAACGCCTCCAGAGATAAAGATTACAGAGTTTGGGGGAAAAAGCATTGCTTCCGCACTGATAGGAGGAACTCTTTATCTGGATCGAACTGATGCAGTGTCATTCCGTTGGAATTCTTCGGACTCCTCAGGAATAGCAAAATGTTGGTGGTCTATGGGATCATTGCCTGGGAAGGATGATCTACATAAGAAAAAACTCACCACCATTAATTTTATTCCGGCTGGGGCAACCACTTTCTCAAACGGTCAAACTTTTTATCTCAATATTGGCGTCATCGACAATGCCGGGAACGGAAAGATTGTTACGTCACCAGCCATTACTATTGACACTACAGCTCCAGTCATCAAAGATTACCATTGCACCCCATTTATATCGGAGAGAAGATCTCTGGTAGAATGTCAGTGGGACATGGTACAGGATCAAGAAAGTATGATCACAAAAATATTTGTTGGTGTAGGCAAGAATGAAACAACCCCTGATATCTCTGAATTTCACGAAGTTCCCATGCTGAAACGAAACTGGATTCGAGATATGCACACAAAACTTAAAAACAATCCCGTTCCTAGAATCTATATAATCATAAAGATAATAAACGGTGTTGATATGACAACTGTTACACCATATGAAATTAGTGTGGACAGAACACCTCCCGAGAAAGGCATAGTCGAAATTATTACCACACTTGACCGGGATCAGCCACAAATCCGGCAGTTGTGTCAGATTCCTCAAACATTTATCGAAGTAAGAACTTTTGGTTGGGTCGACAAGGAATCGGAGTTACAGAGGTATACTTTTAAAAGTATCATTTTCATAATAAATATTTGGATAATTTTTAGATAATATTTAATTTATTTTTTTTAAATATATATATATATAGATTTTTGCCGTAGGGAGACATTTCCTTTCCATAAATAAAAACATATCAAAGTGAAAATTATTTTACCATTCAATTTAATTTTCAAGGTATGAGGTTGCTGTAGGAACAGACGGAAAAACAACAAACATTAAAGATTTCATAAAAATTGAAAATCCAGAAAAGTTTCTAATCAACAATATTTTTATGCCGGAAGGAAGCAAAGTCTACGTCACAGTGCGATCTTTCAACAAAGCAGGATTATATGGACAGATGAGATCAGATCCAGTCGTAATTAGTTCGCAGCCCTCTCTCAGGGTAGTCGATGGGCCTTCAGATGATGATACTGATTTCCAATCTTCGTTAGGTGTTCTTCAAGGACGATGGTTATATTCTGATCCATGTGAAATAATCAGCGCCGAATGGTCAGTAGAAATGCTGGATGGCTCGATATTTAAACCACCGTCTTTAATCCCAAAGGGTTTGACTCATTTTTATTCTGATGTAGTCACTCTTCAAAATGGAATCACATATATAAACGTTGTCAAAACAACTGATGCTTTAAATAGAACGAGAACCAGTAGATCTAATGGAGTGGCGGTTAAAATACAGCCACCTGTCCCAGGTGATGTTCGAGACGGGGTTCAGGAGGACATAAACTACCAAGAGTCAGTAACGTCTCTGAGTGCAAACTGGGATGCGTTTGGCAAAAGTTTGAATACCAGAGACCCGACTCAGCAAATCGTGTATTACGAAGTGGCCATAGGAAACGACAGGCGGTTTCCAAATACCAGAACAAACATTCATTATTTTGAAAATGTAGGATTAAACACAACATATACCTTTACTGGGCTAAACCTTACCGCCAAAATTGTAAAGTATTACATTACTGTTCGTGCAATGAGTCGTGCCGGGAGTACACAGGAAAGTTATTCCAACGGAATTCGTGTAGGGTATAGAAATGAAATAATTCCAGGGGAAATTGAATATTCAAAAATACAGTCCTCTACTTCTGATCTTGCCGTTTCTTGGACTGGCTTCCAGGCTGACTTGGGCATAGACTATTTTCGCATCGGGTTAAGTTCATTTCCCCCTAATTTACCAAACGAAACACTTAATTGTGTAAAATTTAATAACATATTACCAGAGCTTGATCAGGTTCCAGTTTTTAAAGTTCAAAGAGATACTTTTTTCCAGTTCAAGAATCTTCATTTGAATCATAATCACACATATTTTGTTGTTGTCGTGGCAACCGATGTTACTGGGCGTTGCGTTGGCGTGTATGGCGATCCTGTTCTCATAGACACTACCCCTCCAAAACCTGGAAGTATTTTTGTCCAAGGCAGCAAAGGCGATAATGTCCTTTACTCAACAGCCCCTGATCACTTTGTTCTTGAGTGGGATCCTTTCAAAGACGAGGAAAGCAAAGTTAAACAATACGAAATATCAATCTTTAGCACGTATGCTTGCTCTGATAAAGAGGCCATAAATGCGGAAACGTCTGATTTGTATACTCTTGTAAAAGAAGATCGTGTTGAAAATGATAACAAAATTGTTTTTTATGACTTGCAACTTAAAGCAGGAGCATCATACATAGGGCGCGTAAAAGCTTGGAATGAAGCTGGCTTGGAAGCTACAATTATTTCAAAGCATATTCGATTCGATTTTTCATCTCCCATTCCAGGGGCATTGAAAAAAGGAAAGAACTGGTTTAAAGAACTGTCATTTCAACCATTTACAAGTCACGTAGGCGGACTAATTGCAATCTCGAACCCAGCCGATAGTGTCTCCTTTAGATGCGAATCTCAGGAAGTTTTGATTCCTTTAACAAGTAAAAATGAACCATTTTCTATATTAGACAAAGAGTTTTCTCCTAAGTGCATTGAAATTAATGAAAAATATTTGAAATTGATAATTCGCCATGACGATAATTTGAAAACTGTTATCAAGGGAGGAGTTTTAGTGGATAGCAAAAACTTGCGAAATGGTAACTACACAGTGAACATTAAATCTGTTTATGGCTTTAATATGGTGTCTACTTTATTCTTTGGTTCGGACATAAACTCAGTTGTATCCGATTTCGAATATACACCAGAAAAGAAAGTAAACTCGTCTTTCAAAGAATTGAATGATAAATCCGATTCCATGAGTAAAAACATTACAGATTCTGTTGATAACGAGGATTTAACAATGACAACAGCGAGTATGCATTATGACAGGTCGGATACAACTCGAAACTCTCACAACCATGAAGGATATGTAAATCATGAAAATACAACGGATAGATCTAATAGAAATTCCATTAAAATGGGAAAGGAAGGAGAATATAGCTTCGGTGTACATCTTCCGGGATATCAGTTTGAAGATAATTGGGTTGCTTTCTTTTGGATAAAGGACAAATATAGATCGGAAGTAAAACAAGTTGTTCTTGAATATAACCCAACTACATCAGGAACGGAGTTTTCTTTCAGCACAACAAAAACTGAACTGGCCACACACACAACATGGGGCTTACGATTTTTTATTAATGGGGTATTGAAAGGGGAGTACAATGGGTTGACATTTTCAAGTGGAGGAATAATGGGCTTTTACAATTGGAATAAGGATAATTACTTTCCTCCAATTTCAGATCCCGACTCTCCTGTTGCGTACAAATCAGTAGCTGTTATTTCTGACCTTAAAATTCCTCTACAAAGAGAAAAACCATGTATGCATGGCTTACCCTTTTCAGACACCGAAAGTGGAATAAAGGAAATTTTTATTGGTCTTTCGGATTCCAAGAGTACCAATAACACTGCGTCAATTTCCCCGTTCTCCAAGTTTAAAACTTTTTGTAAGCCCTGTAGTTCCAGTTGCAACATTGATTGTGATCCGTTATGTAAAATTAATCAAGCAGATTTTAATATTTTACCGTTTACCATAAGCAATGTAAGTCTGAAACATGCAACCATTGATAAAACAGATATAAAATCCAATGGATCTAGCTTTCATGCTCCGACCTATTACATCAATGTGAAAGTAATAAATTATGCAGGACTGGAAACTGTTGTTTCTTCGGATGCTGTTATGGTGGATATATCTCCGCCTGTTCTTGATTTTGTTCGTTGCCTCGATCCTGCGGATTCAATGGACGCTCCTTCACTTTTCCAGGGGACAAATAAAAGTATGGCTGCATACTGGGATGGCTCTGAAGACGTTGGAGATATCGTGGCATATAATATATCTATCGGAACAACACCAGGTAAATATTAGAAAAACTTAATGTCTAGACTATTTTACATATAAAGATAATAAGGTAAAGTGAAATGTTTTTTTTACAGGTGGAGAAGACATATACAATAAAACAGGGGTTGGTTTAGCAACGAAGATTAAAATTGATGATTTAGATGGTAAACTTTATCATGATCATACTTACTTCATCACAGTAACAGCTATTAACTCTGCCGATTTAACGGCATCAAAAACATGTAACATCACGGTAGAAACCAAAGCCCCTGATATCAGTGGTCTAAAGGTTAAACTTCTGTTGGGTAAATCAGGAAGTCATGGTCGCTTCACTACCGAAAATAGTAGAGAACTTGGAATTACATGGATAGGTGGAAAGGCTGATGTAGAATTTTATGGTGAGTTTTGTTTTCTTGAACTGAAGAAGTATTTATCAATTATCGTAAAATTCACCATTTTGCTGTCGCTCTTTTGTTTGCAATGGATCTTGTATTTTAAGAGTGGCAAGTTGGCTCTACACAAGGGGGAGACGACGTATTTCCACGGGTAAAGATAGGCTTGAGAGATTCCACGAAAGCTGCAATTCAGAATGGAGAGCTGCGTATCGATGACAAATCATTAAATGCAAGCGTGGGCGAATATGCGAAACGGAACTGGACAGAGGAAACACTGAAAGAAGCTAAAGCAAACCATTTCTTTAATATGGAGCCAGGACTTTGCCTCTATATTACCTTGTTTGCTGTAGGGAGGTCGCACTTATCAAGTTCAAGACAAATTGAGCCATTTTGTATAAAACGTACGCTGTATGACGACATATTCTTTACGAATTTTCGAATTTTAGTGATTTGATAATATGGATGCTTGATTAATGATCGAATATATCAGTTTATGATATCTAAAGCTTTTATCATCTTTCTTCAGGCAACATAGACAGAGAATTTACAGCACACAAAAGACGCAGAACTTCAAATCAAGTTCATATAGGAAGAAATCTTGAAATCAGTCCAAACGGTATATCGGCGTTTTTTTCTGAAAAGGAGTTGAAATCAAATTTCAACGTCAAATTTGACCAAGTCTGTAAAAAAATCTAACATATTAAGCAATTTTATAGAAATATATTTATTCTTCTTCATTAGTATATTTAGCTACATTTATGTATTAATTGTAAGTAATGAAGAGATTATTAAACAACAGGTGGTGTTCTGAGTGGAATTCTTAAAGAGACAGCTTATACTGAAGAATATGGATCTGCTGCGTCTGAAAGCTACATTAGATACATTGTGAACCCCACGGAAAGATTTTCTGATACATCTCGGTTTCTGAGAAATAGGTGACATACTGTCTACTTTAATATAAAAGAAAATAAATCGAAAATAAATCATTTAAGCGCTATATTAGTGTAAGATTTATTTACAAAAGACTTTTTTCAGTGCAATGGATGTCTGAACATTAATCTTGTCAAATGCATATTATATGACATCATAAAAAATTCTTACAGTAAAACACGGTTACAACAAACACACTTTTATTGAAATCACTCTTACAGAAAAGTTATTTTCATTGCCTGTGGTTTCACAACGTAATATGGACTTAATAAAAAAATGAATTACGTTTATAACATTAGTTGTCTCTTGCACTTCGCTATGAGCGTCTTTTACCGTTGTTTGAAAAATTATCACGAAGAGTTAATTTTTCAGAATCATTTCCAACATAGGACCCTCTTTTTATATTACTCCCACAGAGGAATCAGTGGACGTAATTACAAAAGTTGGCATTAACTCCTCCGATTTTGATGTAAATATGAACATTCCTGATCTTGCATATTGGGATAAAGGTAGGTTATTCAAACATTCCTGCCCTGGTTTCTGAAATAAAGGTAGTTTATTCAAATATTCTTGATCTTGTTTACTGGAATAAAGTCAGGATATTCAAATATTCCTGCTTTTGCATATTAGGATAAAGGTAGATTATTCGAGCATTCCTTCTCTTATTAACTAAGATAAAGGTATGTAATTCAAACATTCCTGATCTTGTTTACTGGAATAAAGGTATGTTATCCAAACATTTCTGATCTTGTTCCTTTAGATAAAGGTAGGTTATTCAAACATTCCTGATCTTGTTTACTGGGATAAAGGTAGGTTATTCAAACATTCCTTCTTTTGCATATTAGGATAAAGGTAGGTTATTCTAGCATTCCTGTTCTTATTTACTGGGATAAAGCTCTTTTTATTGGGCTACAGGTAGGTTATTCAAATATAAGCAAAAAATGGTTATTGTCTGGTATGAATATACCGTGACTTATTTTTATCTTTTTCCTCAGAAATGCAAAAGTGGATCTCTGTTGAGGAAAAGTGTAAGAGCTCAAGCATCTCTAACAGTATTCTTCAAACAACGGTATGTCTAACAAAATAGTTTATTTATCATTTTTCCTGATGATGACACTCATTTGAACATTAAGACGATGTCATGATTGAATTGTCTCTGCCACAGGTGTGTTCTGCAGTGTTCCAAACAGAACCAAGAAGAAACAAAAGAAGTGCAGGCAATGGAAAATTAGGAAGCCACCCTCGAATGTTTACAGTGATGAAAATCAAAAGAGATGCACAAAATAACAGGCCAATCATAACCACAAACGGTCCTTTGCATTACCAGGAAGATAATATAACTAATTCAAAAGTTCTGATAGAATCCTATGACATTGAGAATGACAGTTTGAATTATTCTATAGAAAAAAGCCCAAGCAATGGTCGAGCTAATATATCTTCAGACGGTTGGTTTATATATGTTCCGAACAAAGATTTTAGTGGAAATGACTCAGTGAAAATATGTGTAACTGAAGTAAATGTCTCATCACCGTTTGTAGCAACAAAGTCCTGCAAGTCCTTTGACATTGATATCGCTCCAACAAATGATGATCCAACGATTGAATTCCATCCTCAATTTCCTTTTCCATTCAATTCCAGTGGAGATATTCATACAATTGTTTTTGAAAGCAATGTCACAAGAGAGAATATATATGGAATCATAACTGCCGAAGACATTGACAAAAACAATAATTTAACCATCAGATTAATAAACAGCTCTACAAACCAACTGTCTTCATTCAAATTGACGAAATCTGGGTCCAACCACATACAAAATTCTATCTCAAGTTCTCATGTTGAGATGTATCTCAGTCACCATTTGAATAAAGAATTTAGTGGCCTCAGTGAAGTTAAAATCAGAGCTCATGACGACCAGCTTGATTTTCGAAACATGTATGGTTACAGTCGAGAAATTACTATCCAAGTGTTTGTTTTGAAAAATCCGTGTGTTCATGGTAGATGCATAAACAGAACAGGAATTATCTGCGCTGATACATCGCGGGCATATAGTTTCGATCTTTTTGCTTGCGATTGTAGCTCAGGCTACACGGGAGAGTGGTGTGAAACTGACATTAATGAATGTTACCCGAATCCCTGTTCTGTCTTTTACGACTGCAAAAACCTAATTGGTCGGTATGACTGCGTCTTGAATGGCCCTAAAACCTTTGGACTAGCAATAGGATTCCTTTTTATTATTGGTTTCCCAGTTATGCTGTTCTGGAGACATCTGAAAAAGCGACGGCCCAGTAGCAAAGTGTCTGACAGCATGTTTTTGCCACCATCAAATAAAAGGTAATCTATGATATCCATTGTTAAATATTAAGAGATAAAAATTGTATTTTTGCATAAAATTCGATTGACGATTCTTAAATGCGCTAAGCGATCTTGAGAGTTTTGAGAATTTGTTTCTTTTTTTATGTAAGACTTGTTCGACGAACTAGATACAGCCCAAAGTTTTCAGCTTCTAAAAGCGACATACCGACGACCTCAAACGATGAAACTTGGAGAAAATCATTCCCCTTTGAGAGCGAGGAACAGAGGATGTCGGCTATGAATTCATTAGCTGAACACAATGCCAATTTAAGAAAGAACAATACACCATTGATGACAGAAACTGCATTCAAGAAATGGGCCATGCCTCGGAAAAAAGTATTTACGGGCAGTCACAAAATCAAGCGAGATGGTGTTTCTTCATCCGAATCTGGAATTCCAGAACCACCACACAGAGTTGCAACCCCAAGCGGCATCACTGACATGTTTTCCGTCGAATAATTGTAACCGACATGAAGAAAAAACTCAATCTTTACTTTCTTTCTTTAAATCAAAAATGACATGGCATGATTTGATGTTGTCTTGAATTTAGTATAGAATCTTTATTAAAGCATCGTTTTAATTTCTGTTGACTTTGAATTCAAGGTTACGAAAAAAAGCATCAAATTGCTAACTAGTTAATGATTTGTCTTTAAGGCAAAGAAGCAGCACGACTTTTGGAATACCATTACAGGCGCGGGTACTCCTTGCAACTATATGAAAATGCATTGAATGCTTCAATGACCTAATATTCTGTTCAAGTTATTAAGAATGAATTGATGCAGATCCACCGTGTCATCATAAACTCATAATTGATTAAAACATTGTTTTACTAATACATTAATTGAATTATGTAGAAAATTAAGCATTCCAATTCAAAATCACTTAAAAAGTAAGCAGGATACCCATACTCATTTTCATATTACTGGGAAGAAGAGACCAAGAACATTTCAATAGCCGTTTTCTGAGTGACTGTAGGGAATCTGGATTTGTTGCATTTGTCTGATATAGAAAATACTCCTATTTCTATAACTGGTGTTCTTTATTTTTCCTTGAAGATGACATTTTAAAACTCGTTTTTTTTTGTGCTTACTTAAACATCATGTCCCGATACATCTTATTTGACCAAACTTAAATTATGCAGCATTAAAGAACTTCATTCTCAAATTTCATAAACATCTAGATGCACTTTATTTACTAGATGAAATATCAGTACCATCAACTAATTTGTCAATAGCTTGCCTCGTTTTAGAAATTTTTCGTGCGTAGACAGACTCTTGTGTATCGAGTCAACTGGGAGACATAAACTCAATATGCAGGTGATGATGTTTACCTTTAATCCAATTAAAAAAGATTCTATGAATAGTACAGATCCGAGATATAAATGCTCAGTCACATTTGCCACTGAGACTATGAAAAACCTGAACCAAATCGCATTGAAGTAACCCTTTTAAGGTCTATGACCAGTCACAATAGGATCATTTTAGGTGATTTGAAAATACTAATCTCTTGACGGCCAGTGACAATGTCCTTTGACTTCATCTCAACACACGTCATTTTGCTTATTATTAAAACTCAGCTCCAGTCACGCAAGGATCTATTGATTATAAGAATCTTACTCCTTAAGTTCATTTTAATGGAGATTTATTTCAGTAAAGACCTTGCAGTCATGCCCCTTACACAAGAATTTGGTCATGTAATTAAAAGGACATCACTTCCTAAGGCCCAATCACATGCACAATCATTTGGTTTGGGGGATTAAAATCGAATTAAAATCGGACGGGCTCTCCACATGTCCGTAGACTGCATACTGTTTGCAAAAGTGAATGCTTAAGAACACTTGGTCTTGCGCCGATGAATAATTGGTGATTATAAGAAAAGGAACTACACTTTTTATCTCTCTTGACCTCAATTTAAGGTAAAATCCTGAATGTTGACAGCTATAAAAGTATAGGTTGAATTTTATTTTAATAAGTATCAACAAGGAGGGGAAGCGTCATTCATCAAAGTCTAAGACTAAAATCTCAAAAGATGCTCCGTAAGAGAAATTCACAGCCTCAAATGAAATATGGAGATAACGAACAGTAATCAAGCTCAAAAGTCCACTGAAACAATACATATCGGGAGCAAGCAAAGCGGACCTCTAAAAGCATAAGAGGTGGGATCAGGTGCCATGGAAGAGTAAGCATCCCCTGTCGACCGGTCACATCCGCCGTGTGCTCCTTGTCATGATCAGGAAAACGGAAAATCGATCTTGATCATGAAAGACAAGATTCAATGACAGTAATGGTTTTTAACACAGGAATAATTCATCGCACACAACTTCATGATAAACTTTTTGTTTATTGAACATAAGGATTCTTGAATATATTTGATTTGTAGACATAAAGATGTTGCAAAATTTTCAAGAAATAGTTTATTATCTCTCTAGAGCTACCCCATGTGCTTCAAACGTGGTTTTTAACTTAATTCATGGAAAAGCTCAAATAACATCTGAGAACCAAAGACATAGAAGAAAGGCATATTTTGGTTAATAAAACCTATAACAAAGACCAGATATACTCAAAATTTACCAAATTTACACTTTTGTGTCATAACATTCGTATTTTTTAATGTCAAGTTATTTTGATTTTGGGCAATATCACAAACAAGATTTAAATACCAATACTTGAGTTGCTTGGTTTATATAGTGATTATTTAAAGTGTTCGTTATCGATGACAAAAATGATCGTCAGAATTTTAAGGGTGAATTAAAAAAAAAATGACCAAACGCATATTTATCAACCCACACTAAAAATACATGCAATGAAAATAGATTTCTATGTCTCAGCATATGTCTTTAGATAGTGTCTAAATACCTGCCAAATATCTCGTTGATATCTCAATTAACAAAAAAGTTATGCCCAAAAATGATGCTAAAATTGTCAGGAGTGCAACACCTTTTTGTGACATTTTGAAATTTCAATATTTTTTGGAGATCTGTGAAATAAAAAATAATGCTTCATGTTGAAAATAAAGACTTTTCTGATAATATTCAAAGTATTGAGCTTTAAATGTGGACTGTCATAACTTTTGTTTACTCAAGTTGTGGTCGTGGCTGATGTTTAAAAAATGTTATACCATGTCAGGAGTGCAACAGAAACAAGAGGCCCAAGGGCCTTAACGGTCACCTGAGTACAACAATTTAGAGGATCAATAAACTGATAAACGAAGCTCTGTTGCCCAATAGCAAGGAAAATTGTACGATTAAGATCATAATAGATGTCTCTATTATTACCTCTCACTTTGGTCTCACTTGGCCTTTGAAGAACATTTAAAAAGATAAGTTATTTTTGTTTCATCTTTATTCATCTATTATTTCCAAGTCTACTTGATTATTAAAACTATGAAAGTACTTTTTGCATTATACAATAAATGTTCTTGCATAATTTTCTTATTCTATTAATCTTTCAAATACATTATCTACAGTGATTAATTATCAAAGATGAATGGCAAAGGTGAATAACTCTTCACTCAGTAGAATACAAATTAATAGAGCCCTGGCAAGGACCAGAACACTTGACTAAATGGTCCAGATGTTCAAAATTCTGGTAAAAATACCTTGCTTATTAAAACTTTTACTCTGTTTGCTTCTAATATGCCCAGGAGCAGAGGAGATTTTCAAAGAAATAATTCATTTTCACTATTTAACACAGCCCTACCCTAACACCAGAACCCATGACCTAGGGTCATGAAAATTTACAAATTTGGAAGAGGTACCCTCATCATCATAACTATGCAATTAGTTGAAGATTTTCAAAGAATTCACACATTTTCACTATATAATCAAAAAGAGCCCCCCCCCCCCCCAAAAAAAAAAAAACAAAAAACAACAACAGAACCCCTGGGACCACAAGTTTTAAAAATTTTGTAAAAGCATCCTTGCTCATCATAACTATACACTTGTTTCTTTGCTTTATAACCAGGAGTAGAAAAAGATATTTTGAAAGAAATTATGAATTTTCACTATATAATCAATAGAGCCCCCCCCCCCCCCTTACACCAGAACCCCTGACCCAGGGGCCATGAAATTCACAATTTTGGAACAGGCTGCTATGCTCATCATAACTATGTACTTAGTTAGTTTATTTAATACCCAAGAGCAGAGAAGAAGATTTTCAAAGAAATAATGCATTTTCACTATATAATCAATAGAGCCCCACCTTAACACCCAAATCCCTGACCCAGGGGCCATGAAATTCACAATTTTGGAAGAGGCAGCCATGCTCATTATAACTACATACTTAGTTAGTTTATTTCATATCCAGGAGCAGAGAAGAAGATTTTCAAAGATTTAATGCATTTTCACTATATAATCAATAGCCCCCCCCCCCCTGCTAACACCAGAACCCCTGACCCAGGGGCCATGAAATTCACAATTTTGGAACAGGCTGCTATGCTCATCATAACTATGTACTTAGTTAGTTTATTTAATACCGAGGAGCAGAGAAGAAGATTTTCAAAGAAATAATGCACTTTCACTATATGATCTATATAGCCCCACCCTAGCACCACAACCCCTGACCCTGGGGCCATGAATTTCACAATTTTGGTAGAGGGCTTATTGCTTATTACAATCATGCCAACAGTTTGACTGCTTGATGTCCAGGAGTAAAGAAGAAGATTTTTAAAGATTGCATTAATTTTGGTGGTTTTAGCCCCACCCCTCAGGCCCCAGGGGGGCAGGGACCATGAAATTCACAATTTTTGTTCCCCTTCACCCATAGGTGCTATATGCCAAAATTGGTTGAAATTGGTTGAGTGGTTTCAGAGAAGAAGCTAAAAATGTTCAAATGTTAACGCACGACGAACGACGAACGACGAACGCCGACGGACAAAAACGGAGAGCAATAGATCACCTGAGTGACTCAGGTGACCTAAAAATGTAGTGTTGCCAAAAAACATCAATTGTAAAATTCTCATAGAAAATTAAGACAAAAAAGAATTTTGGAAGTGTAAAATAATAACTGATATACATTTTAAAACTTAAAAATGTTATATAAATCACAAGCAGCATTAATGAGAGTCAAGTATATGTGCATACCCAAAAATGTCAGGAGTGCAACATTTGATGTTTTGCTCCCAAGCATGAAAAAACTATTACATTATATGATTTTCTGATTTTTATTTTGGAAAATAAAGACACTAAGAACATTTTTACCAAATAGATTTATCAATTACAGGATCTGTCTGTGCTTCAGATTCATATTTCTATGGTCAGGAGTGCAACACATTTTTTAAAAAATTCAAGTTGTGTGAAGAAAAGACTTCTATTCATGCTTAGAAGTATTCATTAATTAATAATGATCTTTTTATATAATTTAATGCTAAATTATTGACAGTTTTATTATTAAAATCCTTCCTTTTTCAATTTTATCAATTCAGATGTGTTTTTATCTTTTTTGCGATTTTTTTAATGAACGTTAAAAATAAACACACTAAAACATTGTCATGAAATTCAAGTAATTCCTCCTCAACTTCAC